AGGCTCTCCTTGGACAAAGACAACGTGGGCAATCTCTAGATCTCCTTTCGAAGTCTAGAGATTAATAAAATGAGTCGTCGAATCGTCTCCGGCAGCTGTCACCCGGCGGAGTGGAAAAATAGCAACTTTGTGGCTCTCTGGTGGCTGTCACCCGATGGAGAGGAGCTGGATGGAGGTGGGGCGCATGTTAGGGAGCTTCATCCTCAGGTCCGCGCAGCAAGAGGAGGCTCTTCATCGCATCCAGTACTTTCTCAGGAGGTGGCGACTCATCTCCCAGTAGATGGTCCTCTTCCCGATGATGGCTTGTTCGTCAATCAATCAGAGATGCTTTACTCAATGGATTCGCGATCCTTTTATTGCGAATCGTTCAGTAATTTTAGTAACAATACTCTACGAATCGTGTTGACAAGATTTTCGCCGATGATCTAGTAATTTTGGTTGCTTAATCCTTCACTGGCAATCTGCAAGAAAGTCGTGATAATCAAATAAAAAAATATAAACTTTGGCTCTAGGAGGATTCGAACCCGTATCGGTTGCCCGCCCTTTTTGGGGAAGGTGACGTGGGTTTAGTCCCACATCGGCTGTGTGCTGAAGTTTCTGGCAAATATAAAGTAATATTACATTCCCGATCAAGTCCCTTTCTCATGCGTGTACGACCACTCCTTGCCCCACAGCCGACTGGCCACCGGTGACGTGGAAGGAGAGTGGCGCACACATGCCCCCATCGGTTCAAGCCGCTCGAGCCCCTGCTCACGCCTCTTGCCTGATTGTGCTTCCGACCCGCTTGCGGGCCCAGCTGGCCGGCGGGCCCCCCCATTTTGTTATATTTTTATTTTAATTTCTTTTCCTTCATTTATCTCAAAAGTAAGACTGTAAAAATTGTATAAAATCACATAATTACCCAAAAGTTTATGTTAATCAACTGAAAACCATTTTTCACACTTTAACATAAATATAAGTCTATTTATCATGAGTTAAGGCTAAAACTATATTATTTACTAATTATTAACTCATGATAATGAAGACTTATCAAGGGAAAAATGATCTTTTCTAGTAACTAAATTTAATTTTCTATAATCAATGCAAACCCACCAACTGGTAGTTAATCTTGTTTGTATTTCATCCCCATTTTTTTTTTCTATAATTGTGATCCCTGATTTTTTTGGCACCACTTTTGTTGGTATCTGAAATAGGATAAATAATATCAACAGCCAACAACTTTAAAATTTATTTTTTTACAATTTTCATCATGTTAGGATTTAATCTTCGTTGTTGTTCCCTACTAAATCTAGCCCCCTCCTCTAGATATATATTATGCATGCATACACTCATATCAATGCCCCTTTGATCATCCATTTTCCAGCCCATAGCCTTCTTATTTTTTCAAAGTACATCTAATAATTCTTCTTCCTATTCATCACTCAAATCAACTGCAATAATAACAGGAAATGAATTATTTTCCTCTAAAAACAGATATTTTAAACAAGAAAGAAGAAGTTTCAACTCTAAATTCAGATGATCATCCTCTTTCTTTTCTCCCAAATTTATGTTCTCTATTTCCTCTAATTCTTCTAGCATAGAGTCATCAATAACATCTGGATCATCAAAATCATTTATAAGATCTATGGTATGACAATCTTATACTTGGGATTTCTTAAGATCATTGGATACCTAAAAATTTTAATTTCTACTGATTGATCTCCACATGAAATTTTTGCAATACCTGTGGGAAAACTAATATTCATCTTTGTTTTATGCAAAATTGGTCTCCCTAGGATGATTGACGTATCATAAAACTGTCCATTAAAATTCATTTCCAGCACTACAAAATCAACTGGAAATTTACACCCCTTTAATTGTCACTATCACATTTTCTAAAATACCTTTAGGATGTTTTATGGATCTATTAGTAAATTATAAGGTAACAATAGATGGTTTAAGATTAGAAATATTAAACTTATCACAAATACTTGTAGGTAATAAATTAATACTAGCACCGGTGTCAAGTAAAGCTTTCTAAAAAATGGATCCACCAATATCACACGAAATTAAAGGGGCACCTGTATCTCTCAATTTATATGGTAATTGATTTAATAATAATGCACTAGCATGCATAGATAATTTTTCTACTCTAGGTGCCCTTTTTGGTGTACACATTTCTTTCAAAACTCTAGCATATTCAGGAATATGTTCAATGGCAGTGAGTAAAGGAAGACTAATTTGCACATCTTGTAAAATTTTCTTTATTTCTTCATTGTGTTCCTTTTTCTTTCTTTCTCTAGGCTCTAGAGCTTTAGGAAATGGAATGGTTGTCCTCTCTTTCGAAATTTCCTTGGTAGAATCTATAAAATCCTCTTCTACTCTTATTTGATTTTGTTTTGGGTTGTCCATGTTTTCTTTTTCTTCTAATGTTTGGAGATAAGGATTAGGTAGGATCTTACCACTCCTTAATGCATTCATTGTCCTAACATTTACATTTCGTGAGTTTTTTCCTAGATTCATGCTACTAGACTCCCCTTGCTGAAATTTTATTATTGGGCGGTTCTCTGAATTTTCTATGGGCTGACTAGGTAGCTGTCCCTCTTCTCTCTTATTCCTAAGGGCCTCTATAATTTGTTTCTACTGCAGCATCATTTGATTCATAGTTTGTTGCATCATTTGGCTCATGTTTTACATCATTTCCATAGTATCAGATTGGGTTTGAGAAGGCTGATTTTTTTGAAATCTGTTTTCTTATTTTAGACGAAATTCAGAGTTTAAATTGGGTCTAAGTGCTTCTGGATTTTGAATATTATTTGGGTCTCTCCATGAAAAATTATTCCTCTAATAGAGATTATAAGAATTTGAATAAGGTTCCCTATTTCTATTAAAACCATGAGCTACTTGCACTTGTTCTTGCATAGGGTGAAATGATTGATCTAAATTATAATATTGAAATTCGAAATAATCATTTTCACCATACATAAGACATATACTATTTTAATTAAATTGAGGGTTAAGAGACTTTCTAATATTGTCAATAAGTAAATCAAGTTTTTCTAATCTTTGATTAATCTGATTAACCTCATTTCTTAATTTAGAATCATCATCATGATGCAATTCATAAATTTCTCTCTTCTTATCCCTGTCATATAATTCAAAAGAGACTTGATCTCTAGAATTTTCACTTAAATTCTCATAAAGACTGTAAATTTCATCAAGAGTTTTCTCCATAAAAGCTCCTCCACATATAGAATCAACCATATTTCTATGTTGTTCTAATAATTCATCATAAAAAATTCTATTGAGCTGTCACTTGGGTGTAGCATGATGAGGACACTTTATAAATAAATCTTTGAATATTTCTCATCTCTCATGTAAAGTTTCTCCTGGTCTTTCAAAAAAACTCTATATATATTTTCTCATATTTTGAGTTTTTCCTAAGGGATAAATTTTTTGAAGAAAAGTCTATTCTATGTCTTTCCAACTAGTTAATTCTCTATCTAATGTGGATAGCCAATGGCTAGCTTTGTCCCTAAGTGTATGAGAAAATAATTTCATCTTAATAATTTCTAGTGTAACTTGAGGGAGATTAACTAAATCACAGACAATATGAAATTTTTCTAAGTGCTGATGAGGTTCCTCTAAAGGCAATCCATGAAAATTAGGGAGCATTTGAAAACTTTCTGGATTTATTTCGAATTTAACAGTGGATGTTAAAGGGACTCTAATATTAGATGTTCCTTGAAATGAATTAGGGATATAATAATTTTTCATGACCATAGGATTGTTCTCGATTTGACCTGTACTTCCTTCAAGATCCATCAAAATTATATTTTCTTTCGGATTTTTTGTTTTGAATGAAATAATGAAAGGATTTTCTAGCCTTGGATACAAGGATTTTCTACCATGTATAAAAAATCAATAAATTTGAGGAAAAATTTTAGTAATTGTTATACTCCTTCAGGATGCTCCAGTCCTTGCCTTGCTTCTCTTCGTTCCTTTTAAAATAAAATAAAAATTGACAAGAAGAAAATAAAACAAGAGTTAATTTTTTTGTGTACTCTAAGAGAAAAATAGAAAAATTCTAAATATTATGTAATACCTCCCTGGCAACCGCACAAAAATTTGACATGACTTAGTCATTGTTTAGTAAATCATGCAAATTTAAAATTTATAAAACTAGAAAATATGAAGTTTTGGATATTTAGAAGTATTTCTGAACAAATATATCAATTATAATTCAATAAAATTTCCAAAAAATAGTGGTAATTTTTCAGGTCAATCACACGGATGTAATATAATATCAGGTAATTATTCAAACTTTTCCTCAAAGAATACTATTTTCTATAAATTTTATACTAGGAAATAAAAATAAAATATATTTAAAATTCACGAAAAAGGGAAATAAGGGTGTGGACGTCAAGATGAGGTTTGCGCCCAGCGAACACGAATCAAGTAGAAATAGAGTTCTCCTCAGCAATTCTTACGTAAGTGATGATTTAATTGATCAAATTAAGATTTGTAAAAGTCAGAGGAATCATAATTGAATGAAGTATATCTTGGTAAATTTAAATCATGTAAATTATCATTAAATGAAGCAAAAACTAAGTTGAAAGCAAGAAAACAAAGTTCTGGTATCATGGCAGCAATGCGTTAGTGATGCACCGGAATCTTGAGTGTTCGAGAAGATCATCGTATAGTGTCCACGGCCTCAAAGGCTCTCCTTAGACAAAGACAACGTGAGTGATAAGTCTTCATTATCATGAGTTAATAATTAGTAAATAAAATAGTTTTAGCCTTAACTCATGATAAATAGACTTATATTTATGTTAAAGTGTGGGAAATGGTTTTTAATTGATTAATGTGAATTTTTGGGTAATTATGTGATTTTACACGAATTTATATGATTTTTACAGTTTTACTTTTGAGATAAATGAAGAAAAAGAAATAAAAAATAAAAATAAGACAAAATGAGGGGGACCCGCCGGCCAGCCAGGCCCCGCAAGCGGGTCGGAAGCTCAGTCAGGGAGTAGCCACGAGCAGGGGCTCGAGTGGCTTGGACCAATAGGGGCACGTGTGCACCACTCCCCTTCCACGTCACCGATGGCTAGCCGGCTGTGGGGCAAGGAGTGGTCATACACGCGAGGGAAGGGACTTGCTAACAAATGTAATATTAGTATATATTCACCCAAAAAATCGGTGCACAACTGATGTGGGACTAAACTTGCATCACCTTCCCTAGAAAGGGCGGGCAACCGACGCGGGTTCGAATCCTCCTAGAGTCAAAAGTCATATACTTTTATCTGATTATCGCGACATACCTGCAAATCGCCGGTGAAGGATTAAGCAATGAGAATCGCTGGATCACTGGCGAAAATCTCGTCAACGTGATTCACGGAGCATTACTACTAAAATTGTTAAACGATTCGCGATAAAAGGATCACGAATCCATCGAGTAAATCATCTCCAATTGATCGACAAACAAGCCGTCGTCGGGAAGAGGACGATCCGCTGGGAGACGAGTCGCCACCTCCTAAGAGCGTACCGGATGCAATGAAGAGCCTCCTCTTGCTGCGCAGACCTGAGGATGAAGCTCCCTGACACGCGCCCCACCTCCATCCAGCTCCTCTTCGTCGGGTGACAGCCACCGGAGAGCCGCAAAGTCGCCGTTTTTCCGCTCCACTGGGTGACAGCCGCCGGAGACGATTCGACGACCCATTTCATTAATCTCTAGACTTTGCAAGGAGATCTAGAGATTGTCCACATTGTCTTTGTCCAAGGAGAGCCTTCAAGGCTGTGGACACTGCACGACGATCCTCCCGAATGCTCAAGATTCCGGTGCATCGCTGACGCATTGTCGCCGCGATGCCGGAACTTTGTTTTCTTGCTTTCAACTTACTTTACGCTTCATTTAGTGATAATTTTTGTGATTTTAATTTACCAAAATATACTTTGTTCAATTACGATTCTTCCTCACTTTTACAGATATTAATTTGATTAATTTAATCGTCTATAATCGCTTACATTAGAATCGCCGGGCGGAACTCTATTTCTGTCCGATTTACGTTCGCCGGGTGCTGACATCATCCTGATGTCCGCACCCTTATTTCCTTTTTTCGTGAATTTTAAATATATTTCCTTTTCATTTCCTAGTATAAAATTCATAGAAAATCTTATTCATTGAGAAAAATTCTGAATACTTACCAGATATTATATTACATTCTTGTGATCAATCTGAAAAATTATTGTTATTTTTTGGAAGTTTTATTGAATTATAATTGATATATTTGTTCAGAAATACTTCTAAATATCCAAAAAATTGTATTTTCTAGTTTTATAAATTTAAAATTTACATGATTTACTATACAACGACTGAGTCACGTCAAATTTTGGCGTTGTTGCTGGGGTTGTATTGCATAATATTTAGTATTTTTCTATTTTTCTCTTAGAGTACACAAAAAAAATTAACTGTTGTTTGATTTTTTTTTTGCCGATTTTTTTTTTAGAAAAAGGCAACGAAAAGAAGCAAGGCAAGGACTGGAGCATACTGAAGGAGGGTAACAATTACTAAATTTTTCCCTCGAATTTATTGATTTTTATACATGGTAGAAGATCCTTACATCCAAGGCTAAAAAATCCTTTCATTAATTCATTCAAAAATAAAAATCCGAAAGAAAAATTAATTTTGATGGATCCTGAAGGAAGTACAAGTCAAATTGAGAACAATCCTATGGCCATGAAAAATTATTATATCCCTGATTCAATTCAAAGAGCATCCAATATTAGAGTCCCATTAGCATCCACTGTTAAATTCGAAATAAATCTAAGAATTTTTCAAATGTTCCCTAATTTTCATGGATTGCCTTTAGAGGAACCTCATCAGTACTTAGAAAAATTTCATATGATCTGTGATTTAGTTAATCTCCCTCAAATTACACCGAAAATTATTAAGATGAAATTATTTCCTCATACACTTAGGGACAAAGCTAGTCATTGGCTATCTACATTAGATAGAGAATTAACTAGCTAGAAAGACATAGAACAGGCCTTTCTTCGAAAAATTTATCCCTTAGAAAAAACTCAAAATATGAGAAAACATATATAGAATTTTTCTCAAAGACCAGGAGAAACTTTACATGAGACATGGAAAAGATTCAAAGATTTACTTAGAAAGTATCCTCATCATGTTATACCCAAGTGGCAGCTCCATAGAATTTTTTATGATGGATTATTAGAACAACATAGAAATATAGTTGATTCTATATGTGGAGGAGCTTTTATGGAGAAAACCCCTGATGAGATTTACAGTCTTTATGAGAATTTAAGTGAAAATTCTAGAGATCAAGCCTCTTTTGAATTATATGATAGGGATAAGAAGAGAGGAATTTATGAATTGCATCATGATGATGATTCTAAATTTAGAAATGAGGTTAATTAGATTAATCAAAGATTAGAAAAACTTCATTTACTTATTGAAAATATGAGAAAGCCTCTTAACCCTCAATTTAATTCAAATAGTACACATCTTATGTATGGTGAAAATGATCATTTCAAATTTCAATATCATCCTAGGCAAGAACAAGTGCAAGTACCCCACGATTTTAGTAAAAAATTGGGAATATTCTTCTAATTCTTATAATCTTAATTGGGGGAATAATTTTTCGTGGAGAAACCCAAATAATATTCAAAATCCAGAAGCACTTAGATCCAATTCAGACTCTGAATTTCATCTAAAACAAGAAAACGGATTTCAAAAAAATCAACCCTCTCAAACCCAACCTGATACTATAGAAATGATGCAGCAAATGAGCCAAATGATGTAACAAACTATGAGCCAAATGATGCAAAAAACTATAAATCAAATGATGTTGCATCAAAAACAAATTATAGAAGCTTTTGAGAATAGGAGAGAAGAGGGACAACTACCTAGTCAGCCCATAGAAAATCCAAGGAACCGCCCAACAATAGGATTTCAGCAAGGGGAGTCTAGTAGCATGAATCTAGGAAAAAACCCACGAAATGAAAATGTTAGGACAGTGAATACATTGAGTGAGAATATTTTATTTGATCCTTATTTCTAACTATTAGAAGAAATCGATGATCCATTAGAAGTAAATGAGAATATTAAGGCCGAAAATATAGTAGCAGAAAATTTGAATAAAATCATTTATTGCTCACAATTGATGAATGAATATTGTGAGGATGATGAGGAGAAAGAGCCCTTAGATAAAGAAACAGCAGCTGATCATGGAAAAATCATCCAAATTTTAATAGAAGGGAGTAAGGATAGAAATGAAGAAAAAATATATTTCAGGTGAGAAAAAATCAGTTGATTTGGAAGATGTAGGAGACGAAATTAATAAATCTAATCATAATTTTGCAGCCATGGATGTTGATAGTGAGGATGATGATGTATATCATATACCGAAATTAAAAGATAGCTCTTGGGAAGATGAAGAGTTTGATGAGTTGAGAAACGAAAAGCTAGAAAAAGAGTTGATTCAACTAATGGGGAGAAACGAAAATAATGAATATGAATATAGAGATAATTTTGGAGGAGAAAATTTAAATTTTACTGAATTCATTAGATCTGAGATTAAAGAAGACAATCCTTCCATCCTTCAAAACCCACAGCCCATTAGAATTATTTCTAAGCTTGAAATATTTCACTCCTATCAAATTGAACAAATATGTATGGAAGATAAAATGGAGCAGGGGAAGATTATGCAGATAAAAGAGCACATTAAGAAATGGGTGAGTGGAAGAATTAGAGATATCAATTTAGATGAAAAAATTCTAGATTGGGTAAGAGCTAATTTAAAAATTATATGACCTGATCACATTTTATGATCTATTAATAGAAAGTATTTATTAATGAATGATAGCCTTACAAAACAAGATAGAAATGAGGAAAGATTCTTTTCAAAATAAAAATATTAATTTTGGGAAAATTTTGATAATTTCCATTTTTTTTTTGCTGAAAGTATGTCAAGGTATATATATGAAGTATATAAATTTATGCTAAATCTGAAAAAGAATATCATGAAACTTACCTTGGGATACAAATATATTTTGATGGCCATAGATCATCTTATATGATCTAAGAGCTGTCCAGTTGAAGACATTAAATTCAGTGCTGCATGGGAGGCAACCCATGGTTTTTATTTCATTCTGTTTGATTTTTTTTAAGCTCTGTTTTTCTTAGAATTTCGCAATACTTGTTTCTGTATTTGTTTTTTCGAAAAAGTGCAGTAGGAGTATAAGATGAAGTGAAAAATTAAAAACTTGGTTGAGGTGATGTCTTTCTGAGTTTTATCATTTATGAAAATATTTTTAATGCTTAACTTTACACATATGCATGCTTCACTTGAAAATTATATTTTCTGCATATTCTATTTCGATTTTTCTGTGTCATTAAGGACAATGTCATTTTTAAGTTGGGGGGTGAAGTGTTCATTATTAATTTATGTTGTAGTAAGATTAAGAACATGTGTTTGCATTTTATTCAACTTAGAACAGCAACTAAAAAAATAAAAATAAAATAAAATTCAGAAAAACTGCAACATCTATTTTTTGGTTTTCTATTAGGAACAACAGACTGTCAAAAATAGCAGACAAAAAAATAGCCTGAAATTTGAAATTCTAGAGACTCTTTTCTCACATTTCAATCCCCTAGACATATATTACTGAAATTCGAAATTACAACTATAAAGAGGATAGTTTTGATTTATCTTTGACAAATTTATTGCAGCTAAAAATAGAACTGAAAACAGAAAAGAGAACTGTCAGAACTATCTAATTTACAAATCTCTTACATCATATTGCATGCATGAAAAATTAAATCAATTAGATTGATTGATACCAAAAGATACTAGGAAGATTATTATTGAGTCAAAAGAATGATCTAGTAGCATGAAATGTTGGAATACTCCTTGGATACATGATAGATAACATAGATTTGATTTTACAGATTTTCACTTCATGATCTTGATGGATAGTATTTACTTGATGTGAAAATTTGATTGATCATTTGAGTTTAATGGAGATTTTTACACCCTGATCTATAGGACTTGTGAGAAGAAATCACTTATTTCAAAAAAAAAAAAAAAGAGAGAGCAATGTGAAAAATTTAGAAATGAAGAGTACACATAGAGGGTGTGAGACATCATTCTCATTGTCGAAAATCATGCATAGAAAAACACTTGCTGCAAAATAAGTGGATAAAGTGAAAGCCCTGAAAATGAAGAGTACACATGGAGGGTGTGAGACATCATTCTTATTGTCGAAATTTGTCTACATGAAAAGCTACTTATCCACTATATATAAAAAAAAAGTAAAAAAGAAGGAAGAAATATAGTGCAAACTTCAAAAATCAAGCCATAGAAAAAAGGAAATGTAGGATCAATATTATTCTTGGATGAGTATTGATAATTCGAACATCTTGTAAATACATCTATGAGTGAAGAAGTGATAAAGATGTAAATAGAAGAAGTGACGTCTAGATTGTTATTCCAAGGAGTGTTTAAACATTTAAGTGCCTGACATCATTCTTAAATACTTGATATAAGAATCCAAAGTGTCTAAAGGTGCATCATTTCTAATCGTATTTTTTTTCTGTATTGAAATATGATGTTTGAGATTTGTAAATTTTTATTTTCGTAATTCCATTGCTAAGGAACTAGCAATGATTTAAGTTGGGGGCTATGATAAGTCTTCATTATCATGAGTTAATAAGTAGTAAATAATGTAATTTTAGCTTTAACTCATGATAAATAGACTTATATTTGTGTTAAAGTGTGGGAAATGGTTTTCAGTTGATTATTGTAAATTTTTGGGTAATTATGTGATTTTACACGAATTTATATGATTTTTATAGTCTTGCTTTTGAGATAAATGAAGAAAAAGAAATAGAAAATAAAAATAAGACAAAATGAGGGGGACCCGCTGGCTAGCTGGGCCCACAAGTGGGTCGGAAGCTCAGTCAGGGAGTAGCCGCGAGCAGGGGCTCGAGCAGCTTGGACCAATAGGGGCACATGTGCACCACTCCCCTTCCACATCACCAGTGGCCAACCGGTTGTGGGGCAAAGAGTGGTCGTACACGCGAGGGAAGGGACTTGCTAACAAATGTAACATTAGTATATATTCGCCCAAAAAATCGGTGCACAATTGATGTGGGACTAAACCTACATCACCTTCCCTAGAAAAGGCGGGCAACCGGCGCGGATTCGAATCCTCCCAAAGTCAAAAGTCATATATTTTTATCTGATTATCACGACTTTCCTGCAAATTGCCAGTGAAGGATTAAGCAACGAGAATCGCTGGATCACTGGTGAAAATCTCGTCAACACGATTCGTGGAGCATTGCTACTAAAATTGTTGAACGATTCGCGATAAAAGGATCGCGAATCCATCGAGTAAATCATCTCTGATTGATCGATGAAGAAGCCATCGTCGAGAAGAGGACGATCCACCGGGAGACGAGTCGTCACCTCTTGAGAGCATACTGGATGCAATGAAGAGCCTCCTCTTGCTGCGCAGACCTGAGGATGAAGCTCCCTAACACGCGCCCCACCTCCATTCAGCTCCTCTCCGTCAGGTGACAGCCGTCGGAGAGCCGCAAAGTCACCATTTTTCCACTCCACCGGGTGACAGCCGCCGGAGACGATTCGACAACCCATTTAATTAATCTCTAGACTTCGCAAGGAGATCTAGAGATTGCCCACATCATCTTTGTCCAAGGAGAGCCTTCGAGGCTGTGGACACTGCACGACAATCCTCCCAAATGCTCAAGATTCTGGTGCATCACCGACGCATCACCGTCGTGACGCCAGAACTCTGTTTTCTTGCTTTCAACTTACTTTACGCTTCATTTAGTGATAATTTTTTTGATTTTAATTTACCAAAATATACTTTGTTCAATTACGATTCTTCTGGCTTTTACAGATCTTAATTTAATTCATTAAATCATCTGTAATCGCTTACGTAAGAATCATTGGGCGGAACTCTATTTCCGCTCGATTCGCGTTTGCCAGGCACTAATGTCATCTTGATGTCTGCACCCTTATTTCCCTTTTTCGTGACTTTTAAATATATTTCCTTTTCATTTCCTAGTATAAAATTCATAGAAAATCTTATTCATTAAGAAAAATTCTGAATAATTACCAGATATTATATTACATCCATGTGATCGACTTGGAAAATTATCGCTATTTTTTGGAAGTTTTATTGAATTATAATTGATATATTTTTTCAGAAATACTTCTAAATATCCAAAAAATTGTATTTTCTAGTTTTATAAATTTAAAATTTACATGATTTACTATACAACGACTGAGTCACGTCAGTGGGCAATCTCTAGATCTCGTTGCAAAGTCTAGAGATCAATGAAATGGGTCGTCGAATCATCTTCGCCGGCTGTCACCCAGCGGAGCGAAAAAATGATGACTTTGCGGTTCTTTGGCAGCTGTCACCCCACGAAGAGGAGCTAGATGGAGGTGAGGCACATGTTAGAGAACTTCATGCTCAGGTCCTCGCAGCAAAAGGAGTGATAAGTCTTCATTATCATGAGTTAATAATTAGTAGATAATATAGTTTTAGCCTTAAATCATGATAAATAGACTTATATTTGTGTTAAAGTGTGAAAAGTGGTTTTCAGTTGATTAACGTGAATTTTTGGGTAGTTATGTGATTTTATACGAATTTATATGATTTTTATAGTCTTACTTTTGAGATAAATGAAGAAAAAGAAATAAAAATAAAAATAAAATAAAATGGGTGGAACCCGCCAGCCAGCTGAGCCCGCAAGCGGGTCGGAAGTGCAGTTAGGGAGTAGCCACGAGTAGGGGCTCAAGCGGCTTGGACCGATAGGGGCACGTGTGTGCCACTCCCTTTCCACATCATCAGTGGTCAGCCGACTGTGGGGCAAGGAGTGGTCGTACATGCGTAAAAAAAAGACTTGCTTGCAAATCTAACATTAGTATATATTCGCCCGAAATTTTGGCGCAAGTGATGTGGGACTAAACCCATGTCACAACTTCCTCAGAAAGGGACGGGCAACTGGGGCGGGTTCGAATCCTCCTAGAGCCAAAACTCATATTTTCTTATCTGATTATTGCGACTTTCCTGTAGATCGCCAGCGAAGGATTAAGCTGCCAAAAATACTGGATCATTGGTGAAAATATTATCAATGTGATTCGCAGAGCATTGTTACTAAAATTGCTGAATAATTTGCGATAAAAGGATCGCGAATCCATGGAGTAAAGCATCTCCGATTGATTGATGAACAAGCCGTCGTTGGGAAGAGAATGATCTGCCGGGAGATGAGTCACCACCTCCTAGGAGCGTACCAGATGCGATGAAGAGCCTCATCTTGTTGTGTAGACTTGAGGATGAAGCTCCTTGACATGTGCCCCACCTCCATCCAACTCCTCTCTGTCGGGTGACAGCCGCCAAAGAGCCGCAAAGTTGTCGTTTTTCCGCTCCACCAGGTGACAGTCTTCGGAGACAATTCAACGACTCATTTCATTGATCTTTAGACTTTGCAAGGAGATCTAGAGATTGCCCAATCATCCTTGTCCAAGGAGAGCCTTCAAGGCCGTGGAGACTATACGACGATCCTCCCAAATACTTAGGATTCCAATGCATCGCCAACGCATCGCCGTAGCGATGCCGGAACTTTATTTTCTTGCTTTCAACTTAATTTTCACTTCATTTAGTGATAATTTGTGTGATTTAAATTTACACCAAAATATATTTCATTCAATTACGATTTTTCCGGCTTTTACAGATCTTAATTTGATCAATTAAATCGTCTATAATCGCTTACGTAAGAATTGTCAGGCGGAACTCTATTTCTACCCAATTTGTGTTCACAAGGTGCTGACGTCATCCTAACATCCGCACCCTTATTTTCCTTTATCATAAATTTTAAATATATTTCATTTTTATTTTCTAATTTAAAATTCATAGAAAACAGTATTCTTTGAGAAAAATTCTGAATAATTACCTGATATTATATTACATTCCTGTGATCGACCTGGAAAATTATCGCTATTTTTGGAAGTTTTATTGAATTATAATTGATATATTTGTTCAGAGATACTTCTAAATATCCAAAAATTCGTATTTTCTAATTTCAAAAATTTTAAATTTGTGTGATTTACTATACAATGACTAAGTCACATCAAGTAGGCTCTTCATCGCATTCGATACACTCTCAAGAGGTGGTGACTCGTCTCTTGACGGATCATCCTCTTCTCGATGACAACTTGTTCATCGATCAATCAGAGATGCTTTACTCAATGGATTCGCGATCGTTTTATCATGAATCGTTCAATAATTTTAGTAACAATACTCTGCAAATCACGTTGACGAGATTTTTGCCGATGATCCAGTAATTCTGGTGGCTTAATCCTTCACTGGCAATCTGTAGGAAGTCACGATAATCAAATAAAAATTATGAGTTTTGGCTCTAGGAGAATTCAAACTCACACCAGTTGCCCGCCCTTTCTGAGGAAGGCGTGATGCAAGTTTAGTTCCACATCGCTTGTTGATAAGTCTTCATTATCATGAGTTAATAATTAGTAAATAATATAGTTTTAGCCTTAACTCATGATAAATAGACTTATATTTGTGTTAAAGCATGAAAAGTGGTTTTCAGTTGATTAACGTGAATTTTTGGGTAATTATGTGATTTTATACGATTTTTACAGTCTTAGTTTTGAGATAAGGGAAGAACAAGAAATAAAAATAAAAATATTGCAAAATGGGCGGACCCGCCGGCCAGCCGGGCCCGCAAGCGGGTCGGAAGCGCAGTCGGGGAGTAGCCGCGAGCAGGGGCTCGAGCGGCTTGCTCGGAGATCGATAGGGGCACGTGTGCGCCACTCTCCTTCCACGTCACCGGTGGCCAGCCGGCTGTGGGGCAAGGAGTGGTCGTACACGCGAGAGGACTTTGCCTAGAAAGCTAACTTTACTATATATTCGCCCGAATAATCCGCGCACAACCGATGTGGGACTAAACCCGCGTCACACCTTGCTCAGGGGCGGGCGACCGCCGCGGGTTCAAATCCTCCCAGAGTCAAAATTCATATATTTTTAACTGATTATCGCGACTTTCCTGCAGATCGCCGGTGAAGGATTAAGCAACCGGAATCGCTAGATCATCGGCGAAAATCTCATCAACGCGATTCGCGGAGCATTGCTACTAAAATTGCTGAACGATTCGCGATAAAAGGATCGCAATCCATCGAGTAAATCATCTCCGATTGATCGACGAACAAGCCGTCGTCGGGAAGAGGACGATCCGCCGGGAGACGAGTCGCCACCTCTTGAGAGCGTACCAGATGTGATGAAGAGCCTCCCCTTGCTGCGCGGACCTGAGGATGAAGCTCCCTGACACGCGCCCCACCTCCATCCAGCTCCTCTCCGTCGGGTGACAGCCGCCGGAGAGCCGCAAAGTCGTCGTTTTTCCGCTCCGCCGGGTGACAGCCGCCGGAGACGACTCGACGACCCACTTCATTGATCTCTAGACTTCGCGAGAAGATCTAGAGATTGCCCATGTCGTCTTTGTCCAAGGAGAGCCTTCGAGGCTGTGGACACTGCACGACGATCCTCTCGAACGCTCAGGATTCCGGTGCATCGCCGATGCATCGCCGTCGCGACGCCGGAACTCTGGTTTCCTGCTTTCAATTTAATTTACGCTTTATTTAGTGATACTTTGTGTGATTTTAATTTACCAAACTATACTTCGTTCAATTACGATTCTTCCGGCTTTTACAGATCTTAATTTGATTAATTAAATCGTCTGTAATCGCTTACGTAAGAATTGCCGGGCGGAACTCTGTTTCCGCCCGATTCGCGTTCGCCAGGCGCTGACGTCATCCTGTCGTCCGCACCCTTATTTCCTCTTTTTTTTGTGAATTTTAAATATATTTCCTTTTCATTTCCTAGTATAAAATTCATAGAAAATCGTATTCATTGAGAAAAACTCTGAATAATTACAAAATATTATATTACATCCCTGTGATCGACCTGAGAAATTACCGCTATTTTTGGAACTTTTATTGAATTATAATTGATATATTTATTTATAAATACTTCTAAATATCCGGAAATTCGTATTTTCTAGTTTTATAAATTTTAGATTTGCGTGATTTAATATACAACGACTGAGTCACGTCAAATTTTGGTGCCGTTGCCGGGGATGTATTGCATAATATTTAGTATTTTTCTATTTTTCTCTTAAAGTACACAAAAAAAAAATAAAAAAAAATAACTTAACTCTTGTTTTATTTTCTTTTTGCCGATTTTTATTAGAAAAAAGGGAACGAAAAGAAGCACGGCAAGGACTGGAGCATCCTGAAGGAGGGTAATAGTTACTAACTTTTTCCCTCGAATTTATTGATTTTTATGCATGGTAGAAGATCCTTGCATCCAAGGCTAGAAAATCCTTTCATTATTTCATTCAAAAAGAAAAATCCGAAAGAAAAATTAATTTTGATGGATCTTGAAGGAAGTACAGGTCAAACTGAGAACAATCCTATGGCCATGAAAAATCATTATATCCCTGATTCATTTCAAAGAGCATCCAATATTAGAGTCCCATTAGCACCTACTGTTAAATTCGAAATAAATCCAGGAATTTTTCAAATGCTCCCTAATTTTCATGGATTGCCTTTAGAGGAACCTCATCAGCACTTGGAAAAATTTCATATGGTCTGTGATTTAGTTAATCTCCCTCAAGTTACACCGGAAATTATTAAGATGAAATTATTCCCTCATACACTTAGGGACAAAGCTAGTCATTGGCTATCCACATTAGATAGAGAATTAACTAGCTGGAAAGATATAGAACAGGCCTTTCTTCGAAAATTTTATCCCTTAGGAAAAACTCAAAATATGAGAAAACATATATGGAGTTTCTCTCAAAGACCAGGAGAAACTTTGCATGAGACATGGGAAAAATTTAAAGATTTACTTAGAAAGTGTCCTCATCATGCTATACCCAAGTGGCAGCTCAATAGAATTTTATGATGGATTATTAGAACAACATAGAAATATGGTTGATTCTATATGTGGAGGAGCTTTTATGGAGAAAACTCCTGATGAGATTTACAGTCTTTATGAGAATTTAAGTGAAAATTCTAGAGATCAAGCCTCTTTTGAATTATATGACAGGGATAAGAAGAGAGGAATTTATGAATTGCATCATGATGATGATTCTAAACTTAGAAATGAGGTTAATCAGATTAATCAAAGATTAGAAAAAATTGATTTACTTATTGACAATATTAGAAAGCCTTTTAACCCTCAACTTAATTCGAATAGTACATGTCCTATGTATGGTGAAAACGATTATTCTGAATTTCAATGTTATAATTTAGATCAATCATTTCACCCTATGCAAGAACAAGTGCAAGTAGCTCACGGTTTTAATAGAAACAGGGAACCTTTTTCGAATTCTTATAATCCTAATTGGAGGAATAGTTTTTCATGGAGAGACCCAAATAATATTCAAAATCCAGAAGCACTTAGACCCAATTCAAACTCTGAATTTCGTCCAAAACAAGAAAACAGATTTCAGAAAAATCAGTCCTCTCAAATCCAACTTGATGCTATGGAAATGATGCAGCAAATGAGCCAAATGATGCAACAAACTATGAACCAAATGATGCTGCACCAGAAACAAATTATAGAGGCTCTTGGGAATAAGAGAGAAGAGGGACAGCTACCTAGTCAGCCCATAGAAAATCCAAGGAACCGCCCAACAATAGGATTTCAGCAAGGGGAGTCTAGTAGCATGAATCTAGGAAAAAACCCACGAAATGAAAATGTTAGGACAGTGAATGCATTAAGGAGTGGTAAGATCTTAGCTGATCCTTATCCCCAAATATTAGAAGAAAAAGAAAACGTGGACAACCCAAAACAAAATCAAATAGGAGTAGAAGAGGATTTTATAGATTCTACCAAGGAAATTTCGAAAGAGAGGACAACCATTCCATTTCCTAAAGCTCTAGAGCCTAGACAAAGAAAGAAAAAGGAACACAATGAAGAAATAAAGAAAATTTTACAAGATGTGCAAATTAGTCTTCTTTTACTTACTGCCATTGAACATATTCCTGAATATGCTAGAGTTTTGAAAGAAATGTGTACACCAAAAAGGGCACCTAGAGTAGAAAAATTATCTATGCATGCTAGTGCATTATTATTAAATCAATTACCATATAAATTGAGAGATACAGGTGCCCCTTTGATTTCGTGTGATATTGGTGGATTCATTTTTCAGAATACATTACTTGACACCGGTGCTAGCATTAATTTATTACCTGCAAGTATTTGTGATAAATTTAATATTTCTGATCTTAAACCTTCTACTGTTACCTTACAATTTGCTGATAGATCCATAAAACATCCTAAAGGTATTTTAGAAAATGTGATAGTGACAGTTAAAGGGTGTAAATTTCCAGCTGATTTCGTAGTACTGGAAATGGATTTTAATGGACAGTTTTATGATACACCAATCATCTTAGGGAGACCATTTTTGCATACAGCAAAGATGAATATTGATTTTCCCACAGGTATTGCGAAAATTTCATGTGGAGATCAATCAGTAGAAATTAAAATTTTTGAGATATCAAATGATATTAAGAAATCCCAAGTATATGATTGTCATACCATAGATCTTCTAGATGATTTTGATGATCCAGATGTTATTGATGACTGTGTGCTGAAAGAATTAGAGGAAATAGAGAATATAAATTTAGAAGAAAAGAAAGAGGAAGATCATCTGAATTTAGAGTTGAAACCTCTTCCCTCTAGTTTAAAATATATGTTTTTGGAGGAAAATAATTTATTTCATGTTATTATTGCAGCTGATTTGAGTGATGAACAGGAAGAAGAATTATTAGATGTACTTCGAAAAAATAAGAAAGCTATGGGCTGGAAAATGGACGATCTAAGGGGCATTGATATGAGTGTATGCATGCATAGTATATATTTAGAGGAGGGGGCTAGAACTAGTAGGGAACCACAACGAAGATTAAATCCTAACATGATGGAAATTGTAAAAAAGGAAATTTTAAAGTGGCTGGCTGCTGATATTATTTATCCTATTTCAGATAGCAAATGGTTTAGTCCTACACAAGTAGTGCCAAAAAAATCAGGGATTACGGTTATAAAAAACGAAAATGGGGATGAAATACAAACAAGACTAACTACCGGTTGGAGAGTTTGCATTGATTATAGAAAATTAAATTCAGTTACTAGAAAAGATCATTTTCCCCTACCATTTACTGATCAAATTCTAGAAAAATTAGCTGGAAAAACTTTTTTTGTTTTCTGGATGGATACTCTGGTTATAATCAAATTTATATAAACCCTTTAGATCAAGAAAAAACAACTTTCACTTGTCCATTTGGTACTTTTGCTTTTAAACGCATGCCTTTTGGTCTGTGTAATGCTCCAGCCACATTTCAAAGATGTATGCTGTCTATTTTTTCTGATATAATTGGAAAATGCATGGAAATTTTTATGGACGATTTTTCTGTTTTTGGCGAATCATTTGATGAATGCTTAAATCATTTACAGCATGTACTTGAGAAATGCATAGAGAAAAAATTAGTTTTGAGTTGGGAGAAATCACATTTTATGGTTAAAGAGGGAGTTGTGTTGGGTCATATTGTGAGTAAAAGGGGTTTAGAGGTGGATAGAGCAAAAATTGATATTATATCTAAAATGAAACCTCCAAATTCAGTAAAACAGATTAGATCTTTCTTGGGTCATGCAGGTTATTACAGAAAATTTATTCAAGATTTTTCGAAGATTTCTAAACCTCTCACCATGCTATTATCTAAAGATATGCCTTTTAATTTTGATGAGAAATGTTTTGAGTCTTTTTCCGTAATAAAAAGATTACTTACTGAAGCACCCATTTTACAAGCTCCTGATTGGTCCCTTCCCTTTGAAATAATGTGTGATGCATCGAATTATGCAGTGGGGGCCGTTCTAGGACAAACAAAAGAGTCAAAACCCATAGTAATTTCATATGCTAGTAAAACTATATCCGATGCTCAATTAAATTATACCACGACTGAAAAAGAGTTGTTAGTTGTAGTATTTTTGTTAGAAAGGTTTAGATCATATATTTTGGGAGCTAAAATTATTATTTATACTGATCATGCAGCATTAAAATATCTGTTAAATAAGAAAGATGCAAAGCCACGTTTATTAAGATGGATTTTATTGTTGCAGGAATTTGACTTAGAAATAAAAGATAAAAAAGGTTTCGAGAATGCTGTTGCTGACCATCTTTCTAGATTAAGTGACACAGGAATAAATGCAGCACCTTTACAAGACGCATTTCCAGATGAACAATTGATGGCAGCTCAACATCAACCATCACCATGGTATGCACATATTGTTAATTTTCTGGTTTCTGGAAAAACTCCAGAACAGTGGGATAAGAACAGAAAAAATCATTTCTTTTCTAAGATTAGAAATTATTTTTGGCATGATCCTGATTTATATTACTTGGGCAATGATCAAATTTTAAGGAGATGTGTTCCTGAAGAAGAATACCATAGCATTATTAACATGTGCCATTCATCTAACTGTGGAGGACACTTCTCTGGACGAAAAACAGCTGCAAAAATTTTTCAGTGTGGTTTTTATTGGCCTACAATCATTAGAGATTCTATAGAATTTAGTAAAACATGTATTTCATGCCAATCTATAAGTAACATGAGTAAAAAAGATGAAATGCCCATGAGTAACATGTTAGTAGTCGAAATTTTTGATGTATGGGGAATAGATTTCATGGGTCCCTTCCCATCAGCTGAAAAATATGAATATATTTTTCTTGCTGTTGATTATGTGTCGAAGTGGGTGGAAGCTATTCCTACTAGAACTAATGATCATAAAATCGTGATGAAATTTGTGCAGGAAAATATTTTTTCGAGATTTGGATGTCCTAGAGTGATTATTAGTGATGGAGGAACACATTTTACAAATAAAAATTTCAGAGAACTGTTGAAAAAGAATGGAGTACACCATAGAGTAGCCACTCCATATCATCCCCAAACAAATGGGCAAGCTGAAGTAGCAAATAGGGAAATTCAGAGAATTTTGAGAAAAATAGTTAGACCAGATAGGAAAGATTGGCCCACGAAATTACAAGATGCATTATGGGCTTATAGAACAGCTTATAAAAATCCCATAGGTATGTCCCCATTTCGTCTCATTTTTGGAAAGCCATGTCATCTTCCTGTGGAAATAGAGCATAAAGCATTATGGGCTATAAAAAATTTATGTATGGATGAAAAATCAGCTGGTGGGCATAGAATTTTTCAGTTACATGAACTAGAGGAGTTGAGGAATGAAGCTTATGAAAATCATAGAATATATAAAGAAAAAACTAAAACTTTTCATGATAAATACATTAGCAGAAAAAAATTTGATGTTGGACAAAAAGTGTGGTTATATGATTCTAGGCTGAAATTATTCCCAGGAAAATTAAAATCAAAATGGAAAGGGCCTTATGTGGTGGAAGAGACATATGATCATGGGGCTGTAATGATTAAAGATCTTAAATCATAACTTTAAGGTAAATGGACAGCGGCTTAAACATTACATAGAACATGAACGCCTTGCAGAAAAAGAAATTTTATTATTAAAAGAAATTCAAGAGTAAGATCAAGGAGTCCAGCTGGAGACATTAAATTCAGCGCTGCATGGGAGGCAACCCATGGTTTTTATTTCATTCTGTTTGATTTTTTTTAAGCTCTGTTTTTTTTTAGAATTTCGCAGTACTTGTTTCTGTATTTGTTTTTTTTCGAAGAAGTGCAGGAGGAGGTGTGTAAGATGAAGTGGAAAATTAAAAACGAGGTTGAGGTGATGTCTTTCTGAGCTTTATCATTTATGACAATATTTTTAATGCTTAACTTTGCATATATGCATGCTTTACTTGAAAATTATATTTTCTGCATATTCTGTTTCGATTTTTTTTTTGTGTCATTGAGGACAATGTCATTTTTAAGTCGGGGGGGAAGTATTCATTATTAATTTATGCTGTAGGACGATTAAGAACATGTGTTTGCATTTTATTCAACTTAGAACAGCAACTAAAAAAATAAAAAAAAATCGCCGAATTCGGAAAAACTGCAACATCTATTTTCTGGTTTTCTGTCAAGAACAACAGACTGTCAAAAACAGCATATGAAAAAACAACCCGAAATTTGAAATTATAGAGACCCTTTTCTCACATTTCAATCCCCTAGACATATATTACTGAAATTCGAAATTACAGCTATAAAGAAGATAGTTTTGATTTATTTTTGACAAATTTATTGCTGCTAAAATAGAACTGAAAATAGAAAACAGAACTGTCAGAACTATCTAATTTACAAATTCCTTACATCATATTGCATGCATGAAAAATTAAATCAATTAGATTGATTGATACCAAAAGATACTAGGAAGATTATTATTGAGTCAAAAGAATGATCTAGTAGCATGAAATGTTGGAATACTCCTTGGATACATGATAGATAACATGGATTTGATTTTACAGATTTTCACTTCATGATCTTGATGGATAATATTTACTTGATGTGAAAATTTGATTGATCATTTGAGTTTAATGGAGATTTTTGCACCCTGATCTATAGGACTTTTGAGGAGAAATCACTTATTTCAAAAAAAAAAAAGAGAGAGCAATGTGAAAAATCTAGAAACGAAGAGTACACATGGAGGGTGTGAGACATCATTCTCATTGTCGAAAATCGTGCATAGAAAAACACTTGCTGAAAAATAAGTGGATAAAGTGAAAGCCCTGAAAATGAAGAGTACACATGGAGGGTGTGAGACATCATTCTTATTGTCGAAATTTGTCTACAGGAAAAGCTACTTATCCACTATATATAAAAAAAAAAAGAAGGAAGAAAGATAGTGCAAACTTCAAAAATCAAGTCATAGAAAAAGGGAAATGTAAGATCAATATTATTCTTGGATAAGTATTGATAATTGGAACATCTTGTAAATACATCTATAAGTGAAGAAGTGATAAAGATGTGAATAGAAGAAGTGAAGTCTAGATTGTTATTCCAAGGAGTGTTTAAACATTTAAGTGCTTGACATCATTCTTAAATACTTGATATAAGAATCCAAAGTGTTTAAAGGTGCATCATTTCTAATTGTATTTCTTTTCTGTATTGAAATATGATGTTTGAGATTTGTAAATTTTTATTTTTGTAATTCCATTGCTAAGGGACTAGCAATGATTTAAGTTGGGGGGTGTGATAAGTCTTCATTATCATGAGTTAATAATTAGTAAATAATATAGTTTTAGCCTTAACTCATGATAAATAGACTTATATTTGTGTTAAAGCATGAAAAGTGGTTTTCAATTGATTAACGTGAATTTTTGGGTAATTATGTGATTTTATACGATTTTTATAGTCTTAGTTTTGAGATAAGGGAAGAACAAGAAATAAAAATAAAAATATTGCAAAATGGGCGGACCCGCCGGCCAGCCGGGCCCGCAAGCGGGTCGGAAGCGCAGTCGGGGAGTAGCCGTGAGCAGGGGCTCGAGCGGCTTGCTCGGAGATCGATAGGGGCACGTGTGCGCCACTCCCCTTCCACGTCACCGGTGGCCAGCCGGCTGTGGGGCAAGGAGTGGTCGTACACGCGAGAGGACTTTGCCTAGAAAGCTAACTTTACTATATATTTGCCCGAATAATCCGCGCACAACCGATGTGGGACTAAACCCGCGTCACACCTTGCTCAGGGGCGGGCGACCGCCGCGGGTTCGAATCCTCCCAGAGTCAAAATTCATATATTTTTAACTGATTATCGCGACTTTCCTGCAGATCGCCGGTGAAGGATTAAGCAACCGGAATCGCTGGATCATCGGCGAAAATCTCGTCAACGCGATTCGCGGAGCATTGCTACTAAAATTGCTGAACGATTCGCGATAAAAGGATTGCAATCCATCGAGTAAATCATCTCCGATTGATCGACGAACAAGCCGTCGTCGGGAAGAGGACGATCCGCCGGGAGACGAGTCGCCACCTCCTGAGAGCGTACCAGATGCGATGAAGAGCCTCCTCTTGCTGCGCGGACCTGAGGATGAAGCTCCCTGACACGCGCCCCACCTCCATCCAGCTCCTCTCCGTCGGGTGACAGCCGCCGGAGAGCCGCAAAGTCGCCGTTTTTCCGCTCCGCCGGGTGACAGCCGCCGGAGACGACTCGACGACCCACTTCATTGATCTCTAGACTTCGCGAGAAGATCTAGAGATTGCCCACGTCGTCTTTGTCCAAGGAGAGCCTTCGAGGCCGTGGACACTGCACGACGATCCTCTCGAACGCTCAGGATTCCGGTGCATCGCCGACGCATCGCCGTCGCGACGCCGGAACTCTGGTTTCCTGCTTTCAATTTAATTTACACTTTATTTAGTGATACTTTGTGTGATTTTAATTTACCAAACTATACTTCGTTCAATTACGATTCTTCCGGCTTTTACAGATCTTAATTTGATTAATTAAATCGTCTGTAATCGCTTACGTAAGAATCGCCGGGCGGAACTCTGTTTCCGCCCGATTCGCGTTCGCCGGGCGCTGACGTCATCCTGTCGTCCGCACCCTTATTTCCTCTTTTTTTTCGTGAATTTTAAATATATTTCCTTTTCACTTCCTAGTATAAAATTCATAGAAAATCGTATTCATTGAGAAAAACTATGAATAATTACAAAATATTATATTACATCCCTGTGATCGACCTGGGAAATTACCGCTATTTTTGGAACTTTTATTGAATTATAATTGATATATTTATTTATAAATACTTCTAAATATCCAAAAATTTATATTTTCTAGTTTTATAAATTTTAGATTTGCGTGATTTAATATACAACGACTGAGTCACGTCACTTGTGTGCCGAAGTTTTTGGCAAATATATAGTAATATTAGATTTACAATCAAGTCCCTTTCTCGTGCATGTACGACCACTCCTTGCCCCATAGTTGACTGGCCACCGGTGACGTGGAAGGGGAGTGGGGCACACGTGCCCCTATCAGTTCTAGCCGCTTGAGCCCCTACTCGTAGCTCCTCCCCCCCATTTTGCTATAGTTTTATTTTTATTTATTTTTATTTATTTATCTCAAAAGTAAGACTGTAAAAATCATATAAATTCGTATAAAATCACATAATTACCCAAAAATTCACGTTAATCAACTGAAAACCACTTTTCACACTTTAACATAAACATAAGTCTATTTATCATGAGTTAAGGCTAAAACTATATTATTTACTAATTATTAACTCATGATAATGAAGACTTATCAGTCCCCATCCCCACATGCCTCAGAGCTCTTACTAGACAACGTTCTACCTCCTCTAGTGCCCTCCCCCCTTCACACGCCACTCTATTACGACACAACTCACTCGGCATGCTTACACATTCAATGGCCATAAAAATTCTATAAATAATCTGTAGGCTAGATGGAAAGAATTAATCTATAAGACTATACGATGCTCTATGGGCATATAGGACAGCATATAAAACTCTCTTAGGCATGTCACCATATAGATTATTTTTTGGTAAAGTATGTGATCTTCTCATAGAACTAGAGCATAGAACATATTGGGCAATTAAAAAATTGAATTTATCTATTGATGATGCTAGAAAGAAATGATTACGTGAATGACATGAGTTAAATGAGATTTGAAATGAGGCATATGAGAATTCTAAGATTTATAAAGTTAAAATGAAAGCATGAACACATCATGGGTGTTCGGCTTCAAACTCTTTCTGTAATCTCATTGCCTCCATCATCTCACGGATGACTCTCTAGCTCTCCGTGACCCTTCTTTTGCCTACTAGTCGCAAATCAACTTAGTCATTATCACTTGGATGCTCCATAGCATCGAGCAGAGCATCACCGAGCCTCTCTCTCATATCAAGTTGACATGCCTTCTATGGGACAATCTAGAGATCATGTACGCCAACTAGATGTACATCAGTCAGAGTGGTAGAAATCATCGAGTCTCTCCTCAACTACAAGCAAGATAATCTCTCTCTCTCTAGGTATCCTACGGTCACCTACAAGCCCTCATTCAAGAGGTGGACATTTATCAACCTCTCACCTCAGACCTCTTGATGCTCTAGTGCTATCGTCAAGAGTTCTATGCTGATGTGTACCTTAGCAGACTTCATCCTTCCACTGTGTCCTAGATCTGCAATTCTGTTCTTTCTGGTGATTGGGTACTCAGCCTCACTCCCATCTTCTTTGCGGCACTTTGGGTCATGACTAGTACGTCCTTGCCCTCTCCACCTTCCTCCACAAGTGCCGCAACTTCCCCCTCGGCTATGGTCATCATCGCTCTTCAGGCTCAGGATGATGGCCCATCTTCTTGCCTTGAGGGCAGTTCTCCTCCTTGTGGAAAGGGCCCCAACTCCTTCCCCTGTGTCCCTATTGCAGCAAGTAGAACCACTAGGCCAACAAATGTTGGAAGTAATTCAACAAACCTACTTCCCCCCAATCAACAATGGCTCCTTCAGCTCTCATCTCACTCGCTCCTTCAAACGTTCATGCCTTGACTTTCAACATCAACCTGACGTCTACGAAGTATGACGTGTTTTGTCACACATCAATCATAATAGTCTTAGCAACACTTCTTCTTCCACCAACCTCACCTCATTTTCGACTCCTTCTACATCAAGTACACATGCTCTCCTTACTTTCCTCTTCATCATTAGGGATTATCAGCTTAGGGGCCTCCACTCATATGACCAGTGATAAGTCTTCATATCATGAGTTAATAATTAGTAAATAATATAGTTTTAGCCTTAAATCATGATAAATAGACTTATATTTGTGTTAAAGTGTGAAAAGTGGTTTTCAATTGATTAACGTGAATTTTTGGGTAATTATGTGATTTTATACGAATTTATATGATTTTTCTAATCTTATTTTTGAGATAAATGAAGATAAAAAAATTAAAATAAAAATATAGCAAAATGGGGGGGTACTCACCAGCCAGCTGGGCTTACAAGTGGGTCGAAAGCGTAGTCGAGGAAGAGCCGTGAGCAAAGGCTCAAGCAGTTAGGACTGATGGGGGCACGTGTGCGCCACTCCCCTTCCACATCACCAATGGCCAGCCAATTGTGGGGTAAAGAGTGGTCGTACATGTGAGAGAAAGGGACTCATTACTTACAAATATAATATTACTATATATGCACCCAAAACTTTGACGTACAAGTGATGTGGGACTAAACCCATGTCATACCTTCCCTCGAAAAGGTTTGAAGATTTAAATACCTAAAATATCTTTTATTTATAACAAAGATATATCATGATGACGTCACTTGATAAAGGCATTATAATACTTATTTCAATCTCTCTCATGCAAGCAGACAACTGGCGCAAGTTCAAATCTTCCTAGAGCCAAAACTCGTATTTTTATCTAATTATCATGACTTTCCTACAGATTGCTGGTAAAGGATTAAGTCGCTAAAATCACTAGATCATCGACGAAAATCTCATCAACGCGATTCGCGGAACATTGTTACTAAAATTGTTGAATGATTCGCGATAAAAGGATTGTGAATCCATCGAGTAAATCATCTCCAATTGATCGACGAACAAGCCGTTGTCGAGAAGAGGATGATTCATCGGGAGACAAATCATCACCTTCTAAGAGCATACCAGATGTGACGAAGAGCCTCCTCTTGCTGTGTGGACGTGAAGATAAAGCTCCCAGACACGTGCCCCACCTCTATCCAGCTCCTCTCTATCATGTGACAATTATCAGAGAGCTGCAAAGTTGCTATTTTTTCACTCCATCAAGTGACAGCTACCAGAGACGATTCGACGACCCATTTTATTGATCTCTAGACTTTGCAAGAAGATGTAAAGATTGCCCACATCGTACTTGTCCAAGGAGAGCCTTGGAGGCCATAGACACTACACAACGATCCTCCCAAATGCTCAAGATTTCAGTGCATCACCGACGCATTGCTGCCATGACGCTGGAACTCTATTTTCCTATTTTTAACTTTATTTCTGCTTTATTTAGTGATAATTTGTGTGATTTAAATTTACCAAACTATACTTCATTCAATTACGATTCTTCTGACTTTTACAGATCTTAATTTGGTCAATTAAATTGTCTGTAATCACTTATGTAAAAATCATTAGGTAGAACTCTATTTTCGTCCAATTCACGTTCGTCGGGCGTTGACATCATCATGACGTCCATACCCTTGTTTCCCTTTTTCGTGAATTTTAAATATATTTCATTTTTATTTCCTAGTATATAATTCATAGAAAATCATATTCTTTGAAGAAAATTCTAAAAAATTGCTCAATCCCTATGATCGATTTGGAAAATTACCACTATTTTTGAAAATTTTATTGAATTATAATTGATATATTTGTTTAGAAATACTTCCAAGTATCTAAAAATTAGTATTTTCTAGTTTTATAAATTTTAATTTGGGTGATTTACTATACAACAACTAAGTTACATCAACCGACACTTCATCCCTTTTATCTTCATATCAACCTACTCCTCATCCCCCTATCACCATTGTCATTGGTCAGACTTGTTCAATCAAAGGCCGTGGCACTACCCTCATCACTCCTAATCTTCCCCTCTAGCATGTCCTTTATGTTCATGACTTTACTATGAACCTTCTCTCGATTAGTGTCATTACTCATGCCCTTGGTTGTATTGTTACCTTTTTTCTTTTTCATTACACTTTCTAGGATCTGCACACTAGCTAGAAAATTAGTTTGGACCGTGAGAATGGATGAGGTATCTATGAACTTATTTCTACTGAACCTTCTTCTAGCCTTCAAGTCCTTTTTGTTGTCTCTACCATCACTTGTTCCCTCTTATGGCATTGAAGGTTACGCCATCCCTGTTTTGAGAAACTTCAAAAAAAATTACTGTAACTTTCTCTTAAGAAGTATGTGTGTGAGTCATGTCAACTAAGTAAACATCACCGTTCCTTCTACCTCAGTTGAGATGCTATTCTCTCTTCTTCCTCTTCTGATCTCATCCATTGTAATGTATGGGGTCCTACTCATACTCCTTCCCTCTCAGGCTACTAATATTAGATCGTTCTTATTGATGACTGACGTGACTCAATCATTGTATAGTAAATCACGCAAATTTAAAATTTATAAAATTAGAAAATATGATTTTTTTGATATTTAGAAGTATTTCTAAATAAATATATCAATTATAATTCCATAAAATTTCCAAAAATAGCGGTCATTTTCCAGGTCGATCACAGGGATGTAATATAATATTTGGTAATTATTCCGAATTTTTCTCAATGAATACGATTTTCTATGAATTTTATACTAGGAAATGAAAAGGAAATATATTTAAAATTCACAAAAAAAAGAAAATAAGGGTGTGGACGTCAGGATGACGTCAGCGCCCGGCGAACGCGAATCGAGCGAAAATAGAGTTCTGCCCGGCAATTCTTACATAAGCGATTACAGACGATTTAATTAATCAAATTAAGATCTGTAAAAACTAGAAGAATCGTAGTTGAACGAAGTATCTTTTGGTAAATTAAAAACACAAAGATTATCACTAAATGAACCGTAAAGTAAGTTGAAAGCAGGAAAACAGAGTTCTGGTGTCGTGACGGCGATGCGTCGGTGATGCACCAGAATCTTGAGCGTTCGGGAGGATCGTCGTGTAGTGTCCACAGCCTCGAAGGCTCTCCTTGGACAAAGACGACGTGGGCAATCTCTAGATCTTCTTGCGAAGTCTAGAGATCAATGAAGTGGGTCGCCGAGTCATCTCCAGCAGCTGTCACCCGGCGGAGCGGAAAAACGGCGACTTTGCGGCTCTCTGGCGGCTGTCACTTGATGGAGAGGAGTTGGATGGAGGTGGGGTGTGTGTCAGGGAGCTTGATCCTCAGGTCCGCGTAGCAAGAGGAGGCTCTTCATCGCATGTGATACGCTCTCAAGAGGTGATGACTTGTCTCCCGGTGGATCGTCTTCTTCCCAACGACAGCTTGTTCGCCGATCAATCGGAGATGATTTACTCGATGGATTCGCGATCCTTTTATCGCGAATCCTTCAGCAATTTTAGTAACAATGCTCCGTGAATCGTGTTGATGAGATTTTTGCCGATGATCTAGCAATTCTGGTTGCTTAATCCCTCACCGGCAATCTGCAGGAAAGTCGCAATAATCAGATAAAAATATGAGTTTTGGCTCTAGGAGGATTCGAACCCACGCCGGTTGCCCCGCCTCTTCTGAGGAAGGTGACGGGTTTAGTCTCACATCGGTTGTGCGCCGAATTTTCGGGCGAATATATAGTAATGCTACATTCCTAAGCAAAGTCCCTTTCTCGCACATGTACGACCACTCCTTGCCCCACAGCCGGCTGGCCATAGGTGACGTGGAAGGGGAGTGGCGCACACGTGCCCCCATCGGTTCAAGCTGCTCGAGCCCCTGCTCGCGGCTACTCTCTGACTACGCTTCCGACCCGCTTGCGGTCCCGGCTGGCCGGCGGGTCCTCTCATTTTGCAATATTTTTATTTTTATTTCTTGATCTTCATTTATCTAAAAGCAAGACTATAAAAATCGTATAAAATCACATAATTACCCAAAAAATCACGTTAATCAACTAAAAACCACTTTTCACACTTTAACACAAATATAAGTCTATTTATCATGAGTTAACGCTAAAACTATATTATTTACTAATTATTAACTCATGATAATGAAGACTTATCACAGCCCCCAACTTAAATCATTGCTAGTCCCTTAGCAATGGAATTACGAAAATAAAAATTTACAAATCTCAAACATCATATTTCAATACAAAAAAAAATACAATTAGAAATGATGCACCTTTAGACACTTTAGATTCTTATATTAAATATTTAAGAATGATGTCAAGTACTTAAATGTTTAAACACTCCTTGGAATAACAATCTAGACTTCACTTCTTCTATTCACATCTTTATCACTTCTTCACTCATAGATGTATTTACAAGATGTTCCAATTATCAATACTCATCTAAGAATAATATTGATCCTACATTTTCCCTTTTTCTATGGCTTGATTTTTGAAGTTTGCACTATATTTCTTCCTTTTTTTTTCTCTTTTCTTTTTTATATAGTGGATAAGTAGCTTTTCTTGTAGACAAATTTCAAAAATAAGAATGATGTCTCACACCCTCCATGTGTACTCTTTATTTTCAGGGCTTTCACTTTATCCACTTATTTTGCAGCAAGTGTTTTTCTATACACGATTTTCGACAATGAGAATGATGTCTTACACCCTCCATGTGTATTCTTCATTTCTAGATTTTTCACATTGCTCTCTCTTTTTTTTTTCGAAATAAGTGATTTCTCCTCACAAGTCCTATAGATCAAGGTGCAAAAATCTCCATTAAACTCAAATGATCAATCAAATTTTCACATCAAGTAAATACTATCCATCAAGATCATGAAGTGAAAATCTGTAAAATCAAATCCATGTTATCTATCATGTATCCAAGGAGTATTCCAACATTTCATGTTACTAGATCATTCTTTTGACTCAATAATAATCTTCCTAGTATCTTTTGATATCAATCAATCTAATTGATTTAATTTTTGCATGCATGTAATATGATGTAAGAAATTTGTAAATTAGATAGTTCTGAAAGTTCTGTTTTCTATTTTCAGTTCTATTTTTAGCAACAATAAATTTGTCAAAAATAAATCAAAACTATCCTCTTTATAGCTGTAATTTTGAATTTCAGTAATATTGTCTAGGGGATTGAAATGTGAGAAAAGGGTCTCTAGAATTTAAAATTTTGGGCTGTTTTTTTTGTCTGCTATTTTTGATAGTTTGTTGTTCCTAACAAAAAACCAGAAAATAGATGTTACAGCTTTTTCGAATTTTATTTTATTTTTATTTTTTTAGTTGCTGTTCTAAGTTGAATAAAATGCAAACACATGTTCTTAATCGTCCTCCAGCATAAATTAATAATGAATACTTCACCCCCCAACTTAAAAATGACATTGTCCTTAATGACACAGAAAAATCGAAACAATATGCAGAAAATATAATTTTCAAGTGAAGCATGCATATGTGCAAAGTTAAGCATTAAAAATATTTTCATAAATGATAAAGCTCAGAAAGACATCACCTCAACCTCGTTCTTAATTTTCCACTTCATCTTACACTCCTCCTGCACTTCTTCGAAAAAACAAATACAGAAATAAGTACTGCGAAATTCTAAGAAAAATAGAACTTAAAAAACAATCAAACAGAATGAAATAAAAACCATGGGTTGCCTCCCATGCAGCGCTGAATTTAATGTCTTCAGCTGGACTCCTTGATCTTACTCTTGAATTTCTTTTAATAATAAAATTTCTTTTTCTGCAAGGCGTTCATGCTCTATGTAATGTTTAAGCTACTGTCCATTTACCTTAAAGGTATGATCACTTTTAGGATCTTTAATCATTATAGCCCTCATAAGTCTTCATTATCATGAGTTAATAATTAGTAAATAATATAGTTTTAGCCTTAACTCATGATAAATAGACTTATATTTGTGTTAAAGTGTGAAAAGTGGTTTTCAGTTGATTAATGTGATTTTTTGGGTAATTATGTGATTTTATACGATTTTTACAGTCTTACTTTTGAGATAAATAAAGAACAAGAAATAAAAATAAAAATATTGCAAAATGGGGGACCCGCCGGCCAGCCGGGCCCGCAAGCGGGTCGGAAGCTCAGTCGGGGAGTGGCCGCGAGCAGGGGCTTGAGCAGCTTGGACCGATAGGGGCACGTGTGCGCCACTCCCCTTCCACGTCATCGGTGGCCAGCCGGCTGTGGGGCAAGGAGTGGTCGTACACGCGAGAGAAGGGACTTTGCTTACAAAGCTAACATTACTATATATTCGCCCGAAAAATCGGCGCACAACCGATGTGGGACTAAACCACACCTTCCTCAGAGGCAGGCAACCAGCGCGGGTTCGAATCCTCCTAGAGTCAAAATTCATATATTTTTATCTGATTATCACGACTTTCTTGCAGATCGCCGGTGAAGGATTAAGCAACCAAAATCGCTGGATCATCGGCAAAAATCTCGTCAACGCGATTCGCGGAGCATTGCTACTAAAATTGTTGAACGATTCGCGATAAAAGGATCGCAAATCCATCGAGTAAATCATCTCCGATTGATCAACGAACAAGCCGTCGTCGGGAAGAGGACGATCCGCCGGGAGACGAGTCGCCACCTCCTGAGAGCGTACCAGATGTGATGAAGAGCCTCCTCTTGCTGCGCAGACCTGAGGATGAAGCTCCCTGACACGCGCCCCACCTCCATCCAGCTCCTCTCCGTTGAGTGACAGCCGCCGAAGAGCCGCAAAGTCGCTGTTTTTCCGCTCCGCCGGGTGACAGCCGCCGGAGACGACTCGACGACCTATTTCAGTGATCTCTAGACTTTGTGAGAAGATCTAGAGATTGCCCACGTCGTCTTTGTCCAAGGAGAGCCTTCGAGGCCGTGGACACCGCACAACGATCCTCCCGAACGCTCAGGATTCCAGTACATCGCCGACGCATCGTTGTCGCGATGCCGGAACTCTGTTTTCCTGCTTTCAAACTTACTTTACGCTTCATTTAGTGATTATATTTTGTGTTTTTAATTTACCAAAATATACTTTGTTTAATTACGATTCTTCCGGCTTTTACAAATCTTAATTTGATTAATTAAATCATCTATAATCGCTTACGAAAGAATTACCGGGCAGAACTCTGTTTCTACCTGATTCACGTTCGCCGGGCGCTGATGTCATCCTGACGTCTGCACCCTTATTTCCTTTTTTTTCATGAATTTTAAATATATTTCCTTTTTATTTCCTAGTATAAAATTCATAGAAAATCGTATTCATTGAGAAAAATTCTGAATAATTACCAGATATTATATTACATCCATGTGATCGACTTGGAAAATTACCGCTAGTTTTGGAAGTTTTATTAAATTATAATTGATATATTTATTCAGAAATACTTCTAAATATCTGAAAATTCGTATTTTCAAGTTTTATAAATTTTATATTCGCGTGATTTAATATACAACGACTGAGTCACGTCAAGCCCCATGATCATATGTCTCTTCCACCACATAAGGCCCTTTCCATTTTGATTTTAATTTTCTTGAGAATAATTTCAGCCTAGAATCATATAACCACACTTTTTGTCCAACATCAAATTTTTTTCTGCTAATGTATTTATCATGAAAAGTTTTAGTTTTTTCTTTATATATTCTATGATTTTCATAAGCTTCATTCCTCAACTCCTCTAGTTCACGTAGTTGAAAAATTCTATACCTACCAGCTGATTTTTCATCCATACATAAATTTTTTATAGCCCATAATGCTTTATGCTCTATTTCCACAAGAAGATGACATGGCTTTCCAAAAATGAGACGAAATGGGGACATTGACGTGACTCAGTCGTTTTCTATTAAATCACGCAAATCTAAAATTTATAAAACTAGAAAATACGAATTTTTGGATATTTAGAAGTATTTATAAATAAATATATCAATTATAATTCAATAAAATTTCCAAAAATAGCAGTAATTTTCCAGGTCGATCACAGGGATGTAATATAATATCTGGTAATTATTCCGAATTTTTCTCAATTAATACGATTTTCTATAAATTTTATACTAGGAAATAAAAAGGAAATATATTTAAAATTCACGAAAAAGGGAAATAAGGGCGCGGACGTCAGGATGACGTCAGCGCCCGGCGAACGCGAATCGGGCGGAAACAGAGTTCCACCCAGCGATTCTTACGTAAGCGATTACAGACGATTTAATTAATCAAATTAAGATCTGTAAAAGCCGGAAGAATCGTAATAGAACAAAGTATATTTTGGTAAATTAAAATCACAAAGAAATATCACTAAATGAAGTGTAAAGTAAGTTTAAAAGTAGGAAAACAGAGTTCTGGCGTCGCGACGGCGATGCGTCGGCGATGCACCAGAATCCTGAGCGTTCGGGAGGTTCGTCGTGCAGTGTCCATGGCCTCGAAGGCTCTCCTTGGGCAAAGACGACATGGGCAATCTCTAGATCTTCTCGCGAAGTCTAGAAATTAATGAAATGGGTCGCCGAGTCGTCTTCGGCGGCTGTCACCTGGCGGAGCGGAAAAACGGCGACTTTGCGGCTTTAAAATCACAAAGAAATATCACTAAATGAAGTGTAAAGTAAGTTTAAAAGTAGGAAAACAGAGTTCTGGCGTCGCGACGGCGATGCGTCGGCGATGCACCAGAATCCTGAGCGTTCGGGAGGTTCGTCGTGCAGTGTCCATGGCCTCGAAGGCTCTCCTTGGGCAAAGACGACATGGGCAATCTCTAGATCTTCTCGCGAAGTCTAGAAATTAATGAAATGGGTCGCTGAGTCGTCTTCGGCGGCTGTCACCTGGCGGAGCGGAAAAACGGCGACTTTGCGGCTTTAAAATCACAAAGAAATATCACTAAATGAAGTGTAAAGTAAGTTTAAAAGTAGGAAAACAGAGTTCTGGCGTCGCGACGGCGATGCGTCGGCGATGCACCAGAATCCTGAGCGTTCGGGAGGTTCGTCGTGCAGTGTCCATGGCCTCGAAGGCTCTCCTTGGGCAAAGACGACATGGGCAATCTCTAGATCTTCTCGCGAAGTCTAGAAATTAATGAAATGGGTCGCCGAGTCGTCTTCGGCGGCTGTCACCCGGCGGAGCGGAAAAACGGCGACTTTGCGGCTTTAAAATCACAAAGAAATATCACTAAATGAAGTGTAAAGTAAGTTTAAAAGTAGGAAAACAGAGTTCTGGCGTCGCGACGGCGATGCGTCGGCGATGCACCAGAATCCTGAGCGTTCGGGAGGTTCGTCGTGCAGTGTCCATGGCCTCGAAGGCTCTCCTTGGGCAAAGACGACATGGGCAATCTCTAGATCTTCTCGCGAAGTCTTCTCGCGAAGTCTAGAAATTAATGAAATGGGTCGCCGAGTCGTCTCCGGCGGCTGTCACCCGGCGGAGCGGAAAAACGGCGACTTTGCGGCTTTAAAATCACAAAGAAATATCACTAAATGAAGTGTAAAGTAAGTTTAAAAGTAGGAAAACAGAGTTCTGGCGTCACGACGGCGATGCGTCGGCGATGCACCAGAATCCTGAGCGTTCGGGAGGTTCGTCGTGCAGTGTCCACGGCCTCGAAGGCTCTCCTTGGGCAAAGACGACATGGGCAATCTCTAGATCTTCTCGCGAAGTCTAGAAATTAATGAAATGGGTCGCCGAGTCGTCTTCGGCGGCTGTCACCCGGCGGAGCGGAAAAACGGCGACTTTGCGGCTTTAAAATCACAAAGAAATATCACTAAATGAAGTGTAAAGTAAGTTTAAAAGTAGGAAAACAGAGTTCTGGCGTCGCGACGGCGATGCGTCGTGAATCCTGATTCGGGAGGTTCGTCGTTGTCCAAAGGCTCTCCTTGGGCAAAGACGACATGGGTCTAGGCGAAGTCTAGAAATTTGAAATGTCAGTCGTCTTCGGCGGCTGGCGGAGCGGAAAAACGGCGACTTTGCGGCTTTAAAATCACAAAGAAATATCACTAAATGAAGTGTAAAGTAAGTTTAAAAGTAGGAAAACAGAGTTCTGGCGTCGCGACGGCGATGCGTCGGCGATGCACCAGAATCCTGAGCGTTCGGGAGGTTCGTCGTGCAGTGTCCATGGCCTCGAAGGCTCTCCTTGGGCAAAGACGACATGGGCAATCTCTAGATCTTCTCGCGAAGTCTAGAAATTAATGAAATGGGTCGCCGAGTCGTCTCCGGCGGCTGTCACCCGGCGGAGCGGAAAAACGGCGACTTTGCGGCTTTAAAATCACAAAGAAATATCACTAAATGAAGTGTAAAGTAAGTTTAAAAGTAGGAAAACAGAGTTCTGGCGTCACGACGGCGATGCGTCGGCGATGCACCAGAATCCTGAGCGTTCGGGAGGTTCGTCGTGCAGTGTCCACGGCCTCGAAGGCTCTCCTTGGGCAAAGACGACATGGGCAATCTCTAGATCTTCTCGCGAAGTCTAGAAATTAATGAAATGGGTCGCCGAGTCGTCTCCGGCGGCTGTCACCCGGCGGAGCGGAAAAACGGTGACTTTGCGGCTCTCCGGCGACTGTCACCCAATGGAGAGGAACTGGATGGAGGTGGGGCGCGTGTTAGGGAGCTTCATCCTCAGGTCCGCGCAGCAAGGGGAGGCTCTTCATCGCATCTAGTACGCTCTCAAGAGGTGGCGACTCGTCTCCCGGCGGATCGTCCTCTTCCCGACGACGGCTTGTTCGTCGATCAATCAGAGATGATTTACTCGATGGATTCGTGATCCTTTTATCGCGAATCGTTCAGCAATTTTAGTAGCAATGCTCCGTGAATCGCGTTGACGAGATTTTCGCCGATGATCCAGCGATTCTGGTTGCTTAATCCTTCACCGACGATCTGCAGGAAAGTCGCGATAATCAGATAAAAATATATGAATTTTGACTCTGGGAGGATTCGAACCCGCGCCGGTTGTCCGCCCCCCCTTCTGAGGAAGGTGTGACGCGGGTTTAGTCTCACATCGGTTGTGCGCCGATTTTTCAAGCGAATATATAGTAATGTTAGCTTTTTAGGCAAAGTCCCTTCTCTCGCGTGTACGACCACTCCTTGCCCCACAGCCGGCTGGCCACCGGTGACGTGGAAGGGGAGTGGCGCACACGTGCTCCTATCGGTCCAAGCTAAGCCGCTCGAGCCCCTGCTCGCAGCTACTCTCGACTACGCTTCCGACCCACTTGTGGGCCCGGCTGGCCGGCGGGTCCCCCCATTTTGCAATATTTTTATTTTTATTTCTTTTTCTTCATTTATCTCAAAAGTAAGACTGTAAAAATCGTATAAAATCACATAATTACCCAAAAATTCACATTAATCAACTGAAAACCACTTTTCACACTTTAACACAAATATAAGTCTATTTATCATGAGTTAAGGCTAAAACTATATTATTTACTAATTATTAACTCATGATAATGAAGACTTATCAGACATACCTATGGGATTTTTATAAGCTGTTCTATAAGCCCATAATGCATCTTGTAATTTTGTGGGCCAATCTTTCCTATCTGGTCTAACTATTTTTCTCAAAATTCTCTGAATTTTCCTATTTACTACTTCAGCTTGCCCATTTGTTTGGGGATGATATGGAGTGGCTACTCTATGGTGTACCCTATTCTTTTTCAATAGTTTCCTGAAATGTTTATTTATAAAATATGTTCCTCCATCACTAATAATCACTCTAAGACATCCAAATCTCGAAAAAATATTTTTTTGCACAAATTTCATCACGATTTTATGATCATTAGTTCTAGTAGGAATAGCTTCCACCCACTTCGACACATAATCAATAGCAAGCAAAATATATTCATATTTTTCAGCTGATGGAAAAGGACCCATGAAATCTATTCCCCATACATCAAAAATTTCGACTACTAATATGTTACTCATAGGCATTTCATCTTTTTTACTCATGTTACCTATAGATTGGCATGAAATACATGTTCTAATAAATTCTATAGAATCTGTAATGATTGTAGGCCAATAAAAACCACACTGAAAAAATTTTGCAGCTATTTTTCGTCTAGAGAAATGTCCTCCACAGTTAGATGAATGGCACATGTTAATAATGATATGATATTCTTCTTCAGGAACACATCTCCTTAAAATTTGATCATTGCCCAAATAATATAAATCAAGATCATGCCAAAAATAATTTCTAATCTTAGAAAAGAAATGATGTTTTCTGTTCTTATCCCACTGTTTTAGAGTTTTTCCAAAAAACAAAAAATTAACAATATGTGCATACCATGGTGATGGTTGATGTTGAGCTGCCATCAATTGTTCATCTGGAAATACATCTTGTAAAGGTGCTGCATTTATTCCTGTATCACTTAATCTAGAAAGATGGTCAGCAACAACATTCTTGAAACCTTTTTTATCTTTTATTTCTAAGTCAAATTCCTGCAACAATAAAATCCATCTTAATAAACGTGGCTTTGCATCTTTCTTATTTAACAGATATTTTAATGCTGCATGATCAGTATAAATAATAATTTTAGCTCCCAAAATATATGATCTAAACCTTTCTAACAAAAATACTACAGCTAACAACTCTTTTTCAGTCGTGGTATAATTTAATTGAGCATCGGATATAGTTTTACTAGCATATGAAATTACTATGGGTTTTGACTCTTTTGTTTGTCCTAGAACGGCCCCCACTGCATAATTCGATGCATCACACATTATTTCAAAGGGAAGGGACCAATCAGGAGCTTGTAAAATGGGTGCCTCAGTAGGTAATCTTTTTATTACGGAAAAAGACTCAAAACATTTCTCATCAAAATTAAAAGGCATATCTTTAGATAATAGTATGGTGAGAGGTTTAGAAATTTTCAAAAAATCTTGAATAAATTTTCTATAATAACCTGCTTGACCCAAGAAAGATCTAATCTATTTTATTGAATTTGGAGGTTTCATTTTAGATATAATATCAATTTTTGCTCTATCCACCTCTAAACCCCTTTCACTCACAATATGACCCAACACAACTCCCTCTCTAACCATAAAATGTGATTTCTCCCAACTCAAAACTAATTTTTTCTCTATGCATTTCTCAAGTACATGCTGTCAATGATTTAAGCATTCATCAAATGATTCACCAAAAATAGAAAAATCGTCCATAAAAATTTTCATACATTTTCTAATCATATCAGAAAAAATAGACAACATACATCTTTGAAATGTGCCTAGAGCATTACACAAACCAAAAGGCATGCGTTTAAAAGCAAAAGTACCAAATGGACAAGTGAAAGTTGTTTTTTCTTGATCTAAAAGGTTTATATAAATTTGATTATAACCAGAGTATCCATCCAGAAAACAAAAAAAAGTTTTTTCCAGCTAATTTTTCTAGAATTTGATCAGTAAATGGTAAGGGAAAATGATCTTTTCTAGTAACTGAATTTAATTTTCTATAATCAATACAAACCTCCAACCAGTAGTTAATCTTGTTTGTATTTCATCCCCATTTTCGTTTTTTATAACCGTGATCCCTGATTTTTTCGGCACCACTTGTATAGGACTAACCCATTTGCTATCTGAAATAGGATAAATAATATCAGCAACCAGCCACTTTAAAATTTCTTTTTTTACAATTTCCATCATGTTAGGATTTAATCTTCATTGTGGTTCTCTGCTAGTTCTAGCCCCCTCCTCTAGATATATACTATGCATGCATACACTCATATCAATGTCCCTTAGATCGTCCATTTTCCAGCCCATAGCCTTCTTATTTTTTCGAAGTACATCTAATAATTCTTCTTCTTGTTCATCACTCAAATCAGCTGCAATAATAATAGGAAATGAATTATTTTCCTCCAAGAACATATATTTTAAACTAGAGGGAAGAGGTTTCAACTCTAAATTCAGATGATCTTCCTCTTTCTTTTCTCCCAAATTTATATTCTCTATTTCCTCTAATTCTTCCAGCACATAGTCATCAATAACATCTGGATCATCAAAATCATCTAGAAGATCTATGGTATGACAATCATATACTTGTGATTTCTTAAGATCATTTGGTACCTCAAAAGTTTTAATTTCTACTGATTGATCTCCACATGAAATTTTCGCAATACCTGTGGGAAAATCAATATTCATCTTTGCTGTATGCAAAAGTGGTCTCCCTAGAATGATTGGTGTATCATAAAACTGTCCATTAAAATTCATTTCCAGCACTACAAAATCAGCTGAAAATTTACATCCTTTAACTGTCACTATCACATTTTCTAAAATACCTTTAGGATGTTTTATGGATCTATCAGCAAATTGTAAGGTAACAGTGGAAGGTTTAAGATCAGAAATATTAAATTTATCACAAATACTTGTAGGTAATAAATTAATACTAGCACCAGTGTCAAGTAAAGCTTTCTAAAAAATGGATCCACCAATATCACACGAAATCAAAGGGGCACCTGTATCTCTCAATTTATATGGTAATTGATTTAATAATAATGCACTAGCATGCATAGATAATTTTTCTACTCTAGGTGCCCTTTTTGGTGTACACATTTCTTTCAAAACTCTAGCATATTCAGGAATATGTTCAATGGCAGTAAGTAAAGGAAGACTAATTTGCACATCTTGTAAAATTTTCTTTATTTCTTCATTGTGTTCCTTTTTCTTTCTTTCTCTAGGCTCTAGAGCTTTAGGAAATGGAATGGTTGTCCTCTCTTTTGAAATTTCCTTGGTAGAATCTATAAAATCCTTTTCTACTCCTATTTGATTTTGTTTTGGGTTGTCCATGTTTACTTTTTCTTCTAATGTTTGGAGATAAGGATTAGGTAGGATCTTACCACTCCTTAATGCATTCATTGTCCTAACATTTTCATTTCGTGAGTTTTTTCCTAGATTCATGCTACTAGACTCCCCTTGCTGAAATTCTATTATTGGGCGGTTCTCTGAATTTTCTATGGGCTGACTAGGTAGCTGTCCCTCTTCTCTCTTATTCCTAAGGGCTTCTATAATTTGTTTCTAGCGTAGTATCATTTGATTCATAGTTTGTTGCATCATTTGATTCATAGTTTGTTGTATCATTTGGCTCATTTGCTGCATCATTTCTATAGTATTAGGTTGGGTTTGAGCGGGCTGATTTTTTTGAAATCTGTTTTCTTATTTTGGACGAAATTCAGAGTTTGAATTGGGTCTAAGTGCTTCTGGATTTTGAATATTATTTGGGTCTCTCCATGAAAAATTATTCATCCAATTAGGATTATAAGAATTTGAAAAAGGTTTCCTATTTCTATTAAAACCGTGAGCTACTTGCACTTGTTCTTGCATTGGGTGAAATGATTGATCATAATTATAGCATTGAAATTCAGAATAATCATTTTCACCATACATAAGACATGTGCTATTTGAATTAGATTGAGAGTTAAGAAGCTTTCTAATATTGTCAATAAGTAAATCAAGTTTTTCTAATCTTTGATTAATCTGATTAACCTCATTTCTAAATTTAGAATCATCATCATGATGCAATTCATAAATTCCTCTCTTCTTATCCCTGTCATATAATTCAAAAGAGGCTTGATCTCTAGAATTTTCACTTAAATTCTCATAAAGACTAGAAATCTCATCAGGAGTTTTCTCCATAAAAGCTCCTCCACATATAGAATAAACTATATTTCTATGTTGTTCTAATAATCCATCATAAAAAATTCTATTGAGCTGCCACTTGGGTATAGCATGATGAGGACACTTTCTAAGTAAATCTTTGAATTTTTCCCATGTCTCATGTAAAGTTTCTCTTAGTCTTTGAGAAAAACTCCATATATATTTTCTCATATTTTGAGTTTTTTCTAAACGATAAAATTATCGAAGAAAGGCATGTTCTATATCTTTCCAGCTAGTTAATTCTCTATCTAATGTGAATAGCCAATGACTAGCTTTGTCCCTAAGTGTATGAGGGAATAATTTCATCTTAATAATTTCTGGTGTAACTTGAGGGAGATTAACTAAATCACAGACCATATGAATTTTTCTAAGTGGTGATGAGGTTCCTCTAAAGGCAATCCATGAAAATTAGGGAGCATTTGAAAAATTCCTGGATTTATTTCGAATTTAATAGTGGGTGCTAATGGGACTCTAATATTGGATGCTCTTTGAAATGAATCAGGGATATAATGATTTTTCATGGCCATAGGATTGTTCTCAATTTTTCTTTTTACTTCTTTCAAGATCCATCAAAATTAATTTTTCTTTCGGATTTTTATTTTTGACTGAAATAATGAAAGGATTTTCTAGCCTTGGATGCAAAGATCTTCTACCATGCATAAAAATCAATAAATTCGAGGGAAAAATTTAGTAATTGTTACCCTCCTTCAGTATGCTCCAGTCCTTGCCTTGCTTCTTTTTGTTACCTTTTTCTAAAAAAAAACATCAAAAAGAAAATAAAACAAGAGTTAAATTTTTTTGTGTACTCTAAGAGAAAAATAGAAAAATACTAAATATTATGCAATACATCTCTGGCAATGGCGCCAAAATTTGACGTGACTCAGTCGTTGTATAGTATATCACGCAAATTTAAAATTTATAAAACTAGAAAATATGATTTTTCAGATATTTAGAAGTATTTATGAATAAATATATCAATTATAATTCAATAAAACTTCCAAAAATAGCGGTCATTTTCCAAGTCAATCACAGGGATGTAATATAATATCTGGTAATTATTCCGAATTTTTCTCAATGAATACGATTTTCTATGAATTTTATACTAGGAAATGAAAAGGAAATATATTTAAAATTCACGAAAAAAACGAAATAAGGGTGCGTACGTCAAGATGATGTCAGCGCCTGGCGAACACAAATCGAGTAGAAATAGAGTTCCGCTTGGCGATTCTTATGTAAGCGATTACAGACGATTTAATTAATCAAATTAAGATCTGTAAAAGCTGGAAGAATCGTAATTGAACGGAGTATCTTTTGGTAAATTAAAATCACAAAGATTATCACTAAATGAACCATAAAGTAAGTTGAAAGCAGGAAAACAGAATTCTGGCGTCGCGACGGCGATGCGTCGGCGATGCACCAGAATCCTGAGCGTTCGGGAGGATCGTCGTGCAGTGTCCCCGGCCTCGAAGGCTCTCCTTGGGCAAAGACGACGTGGACAATCTCTAGATCTTCTCGCGAAGTCTAGAGATCAATGAAGTGGGTCGCCAAGTCATCTCCGGCGGCTGTCACCTGGTGGAGCGAAAAAATGACGACTTTGCGGCTCTCCGGCGACTGTCATCCGACGGAGAGGAGCTGGATGGAGGTGGGGCGCGTGTCAGGGAGCTTCATCCTCAGGTCCGCGCAGCAAGAGGAGGCTCTTCATCGCATCTACTATGCTCTCAAGAGGTGGCGACTCGTCTCCCGGCAGATCGTCCTCTTCCCGACGATGGCTTGTTCGTCGATCAATCGGAGATGATTTACTCAATGGATTCAAGATCCTTTTATCGCGAATCCTTCAGCAATTTTAGTAACAATGCTCTGTGAATCGCGTTGACTAGATTTTTGCCGATGATCTAGCGATTCTGGTTGCTTAATCCCTCACCGGTGACTTGCAGGAAAGTCACGATAATCAGATAAAAATATGAGTTTTGGCTCTGGGAGGATTCGAACCCGCGCCGGTTGCCCTGCCTCTTCTGAGGAAGGTGACGGGTTTAGTCTCACATCGGTTGTGCGCCGAATTTTCGGGCGAATATATAGTAATGCTACATTCCTAAGCAAAGTCCCTTTCTCGCACGTGTACGACCACTCCTTGCCCCACAGCCAGCTGGCTATCGGTGATGTGGAAGGGGAGTGGCGCACACGTGCCCCCATCGGTTCAAGCTACTCGAGCCCCTACTCGCGGCTACTCTCCGACTACGCTTCCGACCCGCTTGCAGGCCCGGCTGGCCGGCGGGTCCCCTCATTTTGTAATATTTTTATTTTTATTTCTTGTTCTTCATTTATCTCAAAGTAAGACTGTAAAAATCGTATAAAATCACATAATTACCCAAAAAATCACATTAATCAACTGAAAACTACTTTTCACACTTTAACACAAATATAAGTCTATTTATCATGAGTTAAGGCTAAAACTATATTATTTACTAATTATTAACTCATGATAATGAAGACTTATCAATGACTATACCTGTGTGAGTTGGGTATACCTTATACGCGACCACTCTAAGGTCGTCACTCAATATTTCACTATGCTCGAAATTCTTCGTATTGACAACACCCTCGAGTCTTCTCTCTAGACCTTCTATGCCGATCGTGGTATTATTGATTAGACCACCTATCATTATACCTCACAACAAAATAGTGTCATTGGACATAAACATCGTCACCTCCTTGACATCACTTGTACCCTACTTCTTGAGATGAATGTCTCACACTATCGGTGGACCAACGCCCTCATGATGATTAGTTACCTCTAGAATCGGTTTCCCTCTGCCCATCTAGGCAAGGTCATTCCCCTTTCAGGCCTCCTATTTATCTCACCCCTATTTTTCTTTCTCCTCAAGTCTTTGAATGCACTACCTTAATCAAGGATCACTCTCTTTCCTTATCCAAACTAGTCTCTCGTACTCTCAAAAAGGTCTTTCTTAGCTACTCCTGAATGTAGAAGGGCTATCTAGTTTATTTTTCTAACACTTGTCGCTATGTTACGTCAGCTGACATCACCTTCCATGAGGAGTCTGCCTTCTTCTCCTCTACCTTCCCTCCTCCTTCTTGAGCTGCCACTTGTCCTCCACCTAGCTTTTTCCCCTTGATGGTCCTTGTAGATTCGTCTTCTTTGAATCCCTCTTGTCCATCCTCTCCACCATCACCTCCTCCTCCTAGCTCCCCATCTTCCACCTACCTCCTCCACTTCGAATGTAGATCCGTCGTCCCCCTCCTCCACCAAGCCGCCTATGCCTCCCACTAACGTCCCCAATGCTCCTCAAGATAATCTTCATCTTTCCATTGCCATGTGCATAGGTACATGTGCTTGCTTGTACCCTACACCCTATCTCTCATATCATTTCCTAGATCACCTTTCCCCCTCCTTTTGTACCTTTGCCCTTTCTGTGGCCTCCGAGTTGATTCTCCACTCACATGTTGAGGCGACATAGGTACCTGAGTGAAAGGTGACCATGGACTTGGAAGTAGATGTCTTAGTATCTTGAGGGACTTCGAAACTAGTTCTTTATTCGGCGAACGTCAATATCATCACGTATAAATGGGTGTTCACACTCAAATACCATCTAGATGACACTATTATATGTCACAAGACTCATTTGGTTGTTTGTGACTTCACCTAGGCATATGGCATCGACTATACTAAGATGTTCTCCCCTATCATCTGACTCGCTTCTATCTTAGTGTTCCTTTCTCTCATCATAAATCAAGCATAGTCTCTCCACTAGTTACATATTTTTAACACATTTCTCTATAGTGATCTCGAGGAGCAGGTCAAAGAGAATCACTAAGGTGTGTTTCTTGCAAAAGGTGATTTACAAGCTCAAGTAGAGTCCACACACTTGATTCGCCAAGTTCAATAGTCTTCTCACCACATTTGACTTCTCGTCATGCATTGTGGATCTTACTATGCTCAAATTTAGGGTGGCCTAGTTATTCTTACGATCTACGTCAGCGACATTCTTGTGACTAAGAGTGATGAGGCTAGCATTTATTCTACTAAAGCTTATTTGTAGTAGTACCTCAACATTTGTGACTTGGGGACTCTAAGATATTTTCTTGAGATTGAGTTTGCATACTAGGATAAAAAGCTCATCATGACCCAATAAAAGTATATCCTTAACATGTTTTAGGAGACTTGACTCCTTGGGTGCAAGTCATAGATTTCTCCTATAAAAGTTCATTTGCAGTTCTAGGACACTTCATCTTCACTCCTTGAGGATGGTAATCGGTACAAGCGATTATTGGGCAAGCTAGTGTATATCTCACCATCACTCATTCCAACATCGTGTATACAATTAGTATTCTGAGTTAATTCATGCAGGAACCACGATGAGTTCATTAGAAGGGAGCTCTACATGTTCTAACATGCATCAAGTGAGCCTCAATGAAATGACTCATCTATCAGCGACATGGTCATCTCAATGTTGAAGCCTATTTTGATGCTGCGTATGCAGGTGACAAGGGCGAACGGAAGTCTACTATGGGTTACTACACATATGTTGCAGATAACCTCATCACATGGCGATCTCAGAAATAAAGAGTGGTGTCATGCTCTAGCATAGAGTTTGAATATTGATAGGAATCAACATCACTTTGAGGACAAGGTGAAACTCATTATGGGGAGAATTATTAAGCCTCTATGCACTCATTTTAGAAGGAAGAAGACCTAAGTTCAACTAGGGAATAACTGAAGGTGAGATTATAGGGGACTCCTAATAGACTAAAGGAATAATAAGAGCTTCACAAACAATGCACATGGGCTACCTCAGAATAAAGAAGGGCATACATAAAGGAAAGGAGGAGAAAGAATGCACCTTTGGAGAAAGTGATTCATCAAGCATGTACTTATTATTATCTTAGATCTAAGGCAATTGAATTTGATTTTCTTTGATCTCTCCCCTCTCTTCTTCTATCTTACCCACTTCAGATGGGCAGATGACTGCAGCCTCCGCCCCTAGCAGAAGTGAATCAGAAGCCCCCAATTGGTGGAGATGCTTTGTAGGTCCTAATCTTCTGGTTGGCAGCCTGAATGTGAGCGGACAGAGGCTAGAACCGTCGCATAGGAGGCCATCGCCACTTCGCTGCCTCTTCCTTCTCAAGTTCCTCCAATCTTCTAGAGATTCAGAAGCTCCCATGTACCTTAATGCTTCCCCATAGACATGAAGTTCTGAGCTTCACATCGCTCAGAACTGTAGTCTACATAAGTAGGCATTCATTTGTACGGTTTGAACTTTTTCTCTTAACAAGAGGCAAGCAGAGTCGTTCATCATAATTAGTTAATTAGAGGCCTAAAATTCAGTTTATAAAACTTATTGGGCTTGTGGGCCTATTTATGTGGGCTGACCCAATAATGGGATGACGATTGGGCTTGTCGACAGGTTCTATGGTCCAGCCCAATAATGGGATGTTTGGGGCCAGTCCGGGCCTCGGAAAAGCGGTCCACTGAGATTAAGAGTATTTCAGCTGTTCCGCTGGAACAGTTTTGGATTAACGAGGATCTGTCCGTTGACTCGCTGTTTTCTTCCCCGACGACTACCATAAATGCTACGACTTTACCAATGACTCCCGTCGCTGGCTCGCAACAAAGGAGCCATTGATCCCCGAATCGTGGATTATGGTCCCTTCTCTCTCTCGCTCTCTCTCTGTGTATATATGTGTATGCATGCCTTCATCTATGCATCTCTCTACAATTAAGCCACGAAGGGTCAAGAAAAACCAAAAAAGTGTATAGTTTATGCAGTTATCCTTCAGCCGGATCGTGGCTTTAGGCTGACCTGGGAATTCTCTCTCTCTCTCTCTCTCTCTCCCTCCCTCCATCTAGCTGGCTAGCTCCGAAAGCATGCACGTTGACAACCTCTCTCTGCCGTGTTTAATGAGAGGTTCACTGTCCACGACACTGGAGCTATCATCCCGAAGATATCTTCGCCGCCCCCCACCCCGGTCCCCACCGTCGATCTTGCCGGCCGACCGCCGCACGTGCCGCTTCAGCGGCGAACATGTGAGTCGACAAGGACCACCCATTCAATTACCCCGACTTCGTAGTCTCCTCCTCCTGAAGCCCCCCACCAGGTGCTCCATCTCTCTCTCTCTCTCTCTCTCTCTCTCTCTCTCTCTCTCTCTCTGTCTCTCTCTTCAGTGTTCATCATTTATTGGTCTCAGACATATTTAAAGCTCTCTCAGCTCACTGAGGAAGGAGATGGCTCTATTCATAATGGGTAAGTTATGCACAGGGAGGTGCACCATTTTCTGTGATGAACTCCATCTTCTCTCTCTCCTCTCTCTCTCTCTCTCTCTCTCTCTCTCTCTCTCTCTCTCTCTCTCTCTCTCTATCTATCTACATCTGTATTCTCTGTCTGCGATCGTTTATAGACCGTTTTCGGCGGTACTCTGCTCGCAGAGATCAGTTGTGAATCGGGGGTTTCCTCGTAGCCGGAGAATAGTCCATCCCTTCTATGTCCATGACGCCGGGGTCCATCTCCTCGGCCGGCGGGTCGTGCTCGGCGACGACAGGGACGGCGGCGACCTCTTGTACCCGTTGACTTCTGGCACTCTGTGGAAGATAACGAAAATCAACGTGAGGATGAAGACGACTACAGTGCTGGAATAATCGGAACGCCAGTTTGACTTTAATTGTTCTGACTAAAAGACAAACCTTTCGTGACGCCCGGGTCAGAAGTTTTCTACTGTTTCCTGCGCGATAAGAGGGATAAAGGGAGTACTCTGAGCAAGTGAGAGAGCGAGGGAGAGAGAGAGAGGGAGAGAGAGAGAGAAATCATGTTTCGGATGATCAGAAGCAATAATATTCATGAAAGTTTTCCCATCTACGGTTGAATTCTAACTAAAATTCTAACTCTCCTTCATCATACCTGAATGGAGAGCTGTTCTTCCCACCGGAGCTCTCCCTGCTCTCACACTCCCACTGTCATCCTGAAACCGACCGAGAATACCTTCAGCTTTCGATCCCCAGAATAGAGTAAAACAAGATGAAGGGTCCCGAAAACAAGAAACCCACCTGCTGGTTCCTCTCCAAGGCGGACGAAGGCTCTTCTTCCATCCCATTCCCTAGATAGACAGATTAGAGAGAGAGAGAGAGAGAGAGAGAGAGAGAGAGAGAGAGAGAGAGAGGGAGGGAGGGAGAGAGGGAGGGAGAGAGGGAGAGAGAGTAGACCTTCTTAGTCATCCAGAAATCCACTAATAAACGGCTGTGATGGGAGGAATAGTGAGGGTTTCCGTCATCGTACCTCTTCCCGCGGCGGTGTCTAGAGGCAGCAGCAACAGCAGCAGCAGCAGCAGCAAGAGGAGCAACGCTGAGACCCGAGCCCTCATTCTGGAGGAGTCCACCGGCGAGAGAGAGGCGACCAAGGAGAAGGAAAGAGTAGATGGCGGGAGCTCCCTCTCAATTTCTTCCACAAATAATACTCCACCAGGCGGATGTGGGGTATCGAGACAATGTTCTCAATATCCCCTCGTTTCCGCTATATATACCATCATAGAACATATTCTATCATATATCATCATCTCTCACATTTTTCACTGTTTTACTGTGCCTTCGGGGGCCTCTCCCCCTACTTCGGAAGAGCGAGTAAATGAGATTATGTACTACTATTATGTTGCACCATGCAGGAAACAGTGGCCGGACGGCGGTTGGGAGGGGTGGGGATGTTGCCGGTTGCTGGCCAGTTGGTCCCCCTGCCGGCCGTTCACATGGATGTCCATGTCTGGCCTCCGTCGGAAAGCGGCGTGTTGACTTGGGGCGTCCACGTGGTGGCCGGCTGCCCACGCGGCCTGTCTGCGCTTTCTTTGGCAATAAGACATGGTGGGTGATGACCCTGTCTAGGCTTGACGATGGTTGCTCCCTCGGCGATACCGCCGCCAACCCCTCCCCACCTTCCGGCGGCCACCATTAAATTCCATCTCAAAGAAATGTGAGATCGACGTCGGAGGAAGCGGTAGAAAGGGACTCATTGCTTGCAAATGTAATATTACTATATATTCGTCCAAAACTTTGGTGCACAAGTAGTGTGGGACTAAACCCACATCACACCTTCTCATGAAAGACTTGGAATAACAATCTAGACTTCACTTCTTCTATTCACATCTTTATCACTTCTTCATTCATAGATATATTTACAACATGCTCCAATTATCAATACTCATCTAAAAATAATATTAATCCTATATTTCTCTTTTCTCATGACTTAATTTTTAAAAGTTTGCATTATATTTCTTCTTTTATATATATATATATATATAGTAGATAAGTAACTTTTCCTATAGATAAGTTTTGATAATAAGATTGATGTCTCACACCCTCCATGTGTGTACTCTTCATTTTTAGGGCTTTCACTTTATCTACTTATTTTACAGTAAATATTTTTCTATACATGATTTTTGACAATGAGAATGATGTCTCACACCCTCCATGTGTACTCTTTGTTTCTAGATTTTTCACATTACTCTCTCTTTTTTTTTTTGAAATAAGTGATTTCTCCTCACAAGTCCTATAGATCAAGGTGCAAAAATTTCTATTAAACTCAAATGATCAATCAAATTTTCACATCAAGTAAATACTATTTATTAAGATCATGAACTGAAAATCTATAAAATCAAATCCATGTTATCTATCATGTATCCAAGGAGTCTTCCAACATTTCATGCTACTAAATCATTCTTTTAACTTAATAATAATCTTCTTAGTATCTTTTGGTATCAATCAATCTACTTGATTTAATTTTTCGTGCATGCAATATGATGTAAGAAATTTGTAAATTAGATAGTTCTGATAGTTTTGCTTTATGTTTTCAGCTCTATTTTTAGCAACAATAAATTTGTCAAAAATAAACCAAAACTATTCTCTTTATGACTATAATTTTGAATTTCAGCAATATATGTCTAGGGCATTGAAATGTGAGAAAGGGTCTCTAGAATTTTAAATTTTGGGCTTTTTTTTCTCTATTATTTTTGTCAGTCTATTGTTCATGACAGAAAACCAGAAAATAGATATTGTAGTTTTTCCGAATCTTTTATTTTAGTTGCTATTCTAAGTGAGCATGAAAAAAAATACAAACACATGTTCTTAATTGTCCTACAGCATAAATTAAGAATTAATACTTCACCCCTCAACTTAAAAATGACATTGTCCTCAATGACACAGAAAAATTAGAACAGAATATGTAGAAAATATAATTCTCAAGTGAAACATACATATATGTAAAATTAAGTATTAAAAATGTTGTCATAAATGATAAAGCTCAGAAAGACATCACTTTAACCTTGTTTTTAATTTTCCACTTCATCTTACACTCCTCCTCTTGCACTTTTTTGAAAAAATAAAAATAAAATACAGAAACAAGTATTGTGAAATTTTAAGAAAAATAAAGCTTAAAAAAAACAAAATGAAATAAAGACCATGGGTTACCTCCCATGCAGCACTAAATTTAATGTCTCTAGCTAGACACATTAATCTTTCTCTTGAATTTGTTTTAATAATAAAATTTCTTTTTCTACAAGGCATTCATGTTTTATGTAATGTTTAAGCCGCTGTCCATTTATCTTAATGTTATGATCACTTTTAGGATCTTTAATCATTACAGCCCTATGATCATGTCTCTTCCACCATATAAGGTCTTATCTATTTTGATTTTAATTTTCTTGAGAATAATTTCAACCTAGAATCATATAACCACACTTTTTACCAACATCAATTTTTTTTCTACTAATGTATTTATAATGAAAAGTTTTTTTTTTGTTATATATTCTATGATTTTCATAAGCTTTATTCCTCAACTCCTCTAGTTCATGTAGCTAAAAAATTCTATGCCCATCAGCTGATTTTTCATCCATATATAAAATTTTTATAGCCCATAATACTTTATGCTTTATTTCCACAAGAAGATAACATGGCTTTTCAAAAATGAGATAAAATGGAGACATACCTATGAAATTTTTATAAGCTGTTCTATAAGCCCATAATGCATCTTGTAATTTTGTGGGCCAATCTTTCCTATTTGATCTAATTATTTTCTCAAAATTCTCTGAATTTTCTTATTCACTACTTCATCTTGCCCATTTATTTGAGGATGATATAGAGTGGCTATTTTATGGTGTACTCTATTATTTTTCAATAGTTCCCTAAAATGTTTATTTGTAAAATATGTTCCTCCATCACTAATAATCACTCTAAGACATCCAAATTTCGAAAAAATATTTTCCTGCACAAATTTCATCACGATTTTATGATCATTAGTTTTAGTAGGAATAGCTTCCACCCACTTAAACATATAATCAACAGCAAGTAAAATATATTCATATTTTTCAACTGATAGGAAGAGACCCATGAAATTTATTATCTATACATGAAAAATTTCGACTACTAACATGTTACTCATGGGTATTTCATCTTTTTTGCTCATGTTACCTATAGATTGACATGAAATACATGTTCTACTAAATTCTATATAATTTTTAATGATTTTAGGCCAATAAAAACCACACTGAAATTTTTTTCCAGCTATTTTTCGTCCAAAAAAATGTCCTCCACAGTTAGATGAATGGCACATGTTCTGATATGAATGGAACATATTTATACTACATGATTAGTATAAATAATAATTTTAGCTCTGGAAATATATGATCTAAACGTTTCTAATGAAAATATTACAACTAAAAACTCTTTTTCAGTCGTGGTATAATTTAATTGAGCATCAGATATAGTTTTACTAGCATATGAAATTATTATGGGTTTTGACTCTTTTGTTTGTCCTAGAACGACTCCTACTACATAATTCGATTCATCACACATTATTTCAAAGGGAAGAGATCAATCAGGAGCTTGTAAAATAGGTGCCTCAGTAAGTAATCTTTTTATTTCAGAAAAAGACTCAAAACATTTCTTATCAAATTTAAAAGGCACATCTTTAGATAATAACATGGTGAGAGGTTTAAAATTTTTTGAAAAATCTTGAATAAATTTTTTATAATAACCTACATGACCCAAGAAAGATCTAATCTATTTTATTGATTTCAGAAGTTTCATTTTAGATATAATATCAATTTTTACTCCATCCACCTCTAAACCGCTTTCACTCACAATATGACTCAACATAACTCCCTCTCTAACTATAAAATGTAATATCTCCAAACTCAAAATTATTTTTTTCTCTATACATTTCTTAAGTATATGCAATAAATGATTTAAGCATTCATCAAATGATTCACCAAAAATAGAAGAATCATTCAAAAAATTTCCATCTATTTTCCAATCATATCAGAAAAAATAGGCAGCATACATCTTTGAAATGTGGCTAGAGTATTACACAGACTAAAAGGCATGCATTTAAAAGCAATAGTACCAAATGGACAAGTGAAAGTTATTTTTTCTTGATCTAAAGAGTTTATATAAATTTGATTATAACTAGAGTATCCATGTAGAAAATAAAAAAAGTTTTTTCTAGCTAATTGTTTTAGAATTTGATTAGTAAATGGTAGGGAAAAATGATCTTTCCTAGTAACTGAATTTAATCTTTTATAATCAATGCAAACCCTCTAATCGGTAGTTAATCTTGTTTGTATTTCATCCCTATTTTTGTTTTTTATAATCATGATCCCTAATTTTTTTGGCACCACTTGTGTAAGATTAACCCATTTGCTATCTAAAATAGGATAAATAATTTCAATTGTCAGCCACTTTAATTTATTTTTTTTACAATTTTCATCATGTTAGGATTTAATCTTCATTGTGGTTCCCTATTAGTACTAGCCTCCTCCTCTAGATATATACTATGCATGCATACACACATATCAATGCCCCTAAGATCATCCATTTTCCAGCCAATGGACTTTTTATTTTTTCAAAGTATATTTAATAACTTTTCTTCTTATTCATTACTCAAATCAGTTGTAGTAATAACATAATATGAATTATTTTCCTCCAAAAATATATATTTTAAACTAGAGGGAAGAGGTTTCAACTCTAAATTCAGATGATCTTCTTCTTTCTTTTCTCTGAAATTTATATTCTTTATTTCCTCTAATTCTTCTAGCACATAGTCATCAATAACATTTGGATCATCAAAATCATCTAGAAAATCTATGGTATGACAGTCATATATTTGGGATTTCTTAAGATCATTTGATACCTTAAAAATTTTAATTTCTACTGATTGATCTCCACATAAAATTTTTGCAATACCTGTAAGAAAATCAATATTCATGTTTGCTGTATGCAAAAATAGTTTCCCTAAGATGATTGGTGTATCATAAAACTTTCCATTAAAATCTATTTCCAGAAAAATCAGTTGGAAATTTACACCTTTTAACTGTCACTATCACATTTTCTAAAATACCTTTAGTATGTTTTATAGATTTATTATCAAATTATAAAGTAACAGTAGAAGGTTTACGATCTGTAATATTAAATTTATCACAAATACTTGTATCAAGTAATGTATTCTAAAAAATGGATCCACCAATATCACACGAAATTAAAGAGGCACTAGTATCTCTCAATTTATATGGTAATTAATTTAATAATAAAGCACTAGCATGCATAGATAATTTTTTTACTCTAGGTGTCCTTTTTAATGTATACATTTCTTTCAAAACTCTAGCATATTCAGGAATATATTCAATGGCAGTGAGTAAAGGAAGACTAATTTGCACATCTTATAAAAAAAAAATTATTTCATTATGTTCTTTTTCTTTTCTTTGTCTAGGCTCTAGAGCTTTAGGAAATGAAATGGTTGTCCTCTCTTTCGGAGTTTTCTTAGTAGAATCTATAAAATCCTCTTCTACTCCTATTTGATTTTACTTTGGGCTGTCCACGTTTTCCTTTTCTTCTAATGTTTGGAGATAAGGATCAAGTAAAATCTTCTCACTCAATGCATTTACTGTCTTAATATTTTCATTTCGTGGGTTTTTTCCTAAATTCATGCTACTAGACTCCCCTTACTGAAATCTTATTGTTGGGCGATTCTTTAGATTTTCTATGGGTTGACTAGGTAGTTGTCCCTCTTTTCTCTTAATCCCAAGAGCCTCTATAATTTGTTTCTGCTGCAACATCATTTGATTCATAATTTGTTGTATCATTTGACTCATTTACTACATCATTTCCATAGCATTAGGTTAGGTTTGAGAGGACTGATTTTTTTGAAATCTGTTTTCCCATTTTGGATGAAATTCAGAGTTTGAATTGGATCTAAGTGCTTCTAGATTTTGAATATTATTTGGGTCTTTCCACGAAAAATTATTTCTTCATTAGGATTATAAGAATTAGAAAAAGGCTTCCTATTTTTATTAAAATCATGAGCTACTTACACTTGTTCTTGCATAGGGTAAAATGATTGATCTAAATTATAGTATTGAAATTCAGAATAATCATTTTGACCATACATAGGACATGTACTATTTGAATTGAATTGAGGGTTAAGAGACTTTCTAATATTGTCAATAAGTAAATCAAGTTTTCCTAATATTTTATTAATCTAATTAACCTCATTTAGTAAATTAGAATCATTTTGATGATATAATTTATAAATTCTTCTCTTCTTATCCTTGTCATATAATTCAAAAGAGGCTTGATCTCTAGAATTTTCACTTACATTCTCATAAAGGCTGTAAATCTCAACAAGGGTTTTCTCCATAAAAGTTCTTCCATATATCGAATCAACCATATTTCTATGTTGTTCTAATAATCCATCATAAAAAAATTTAGTGAGTTGTCACTTGGGTATAGCATGATGAGGACACTTTCTAAGTAAAACTATGAATTTTTCCTATATCTCATACAAAGTTTCTCCTGATCTTTGAGAAAAACTCTATATATATTTTCTCATATTTTGAGTTTTTCCTAAGAGATAAATTTTTTGAAGAAAGGCCTATTCTATATCTTTTCAGTTAGTTAATTTCTCTATCTAATGTGGATAATCAATGACTAGATTTGTCCCCAAGTGTATGAGAAAATAATTTTATCTTAATAATTTTCAATGTAACTTGAGGGAGATTAACTAAATCACAGACCATATAAATTTTTTTAAATGCTGATAAGATTCCTCTAAAAGCAATCCATGAAAATTAGGAAGCATTTGAAAAATTCTTAGATTTATTTCGAATTTAACAGTGGGTGTTAATGGGACTCTAATATTGGATGCTCTTTGAAATGAATCAGGGATATAATGATTTTTCATGGCCGTAGGATTATTCTCAATTTGACTTGTACTTCCTTCAAGATCTATCAAAATTAATCTTTCTTTTAGATTTTTAGTTTTGAATGAAATAATGAAAGAATTTTCTAGCCTTGGATGCAAAGATCTTCTACCATGCATAAAAATCAATAAATTTGAGGAAAAAGTTTAATAATTACTACCCTCATTTAGTATGCTCTAGTCCTTGCCTTGCTTCTCTTCATTTCCTTTTTTTTTTTAAAAATTCAGCAAGAAGAAAATAAAACAAGAGTTAATTTTTTTGTGTACTCTAAGAGAAAAATAGAAAAATACTAAATATTATGTAATACATCCCCGAAGGCATCAAAATTTGATGTGACTTAATCATTGTATAGTAAATCACATAAATTTAAAATTTATAAAACTAGAAAATACTAATTTTTAGATATTTAGAAGTATTTTTGAGCAAATATATCAATTATAGTTCAATAAAACTTTCAAAAATAGTAGTAAATTTTCAGTTGATCATAGGGATGTAATATAATATCGGGTAATTTTTCAGAATTTTTTTCAAAGAATATATTTTTTATAAATTATATACTAAGAAATAAAAATAAAATGTATTTAAAATTCACAAAAGAAGGAAATAAAGGTGTAGATGTCAGGATAATATCAGTGTCTAACTGACGTGACTCAGCCGTTGTATATTAAATCACGCAAATCTAAAATTTATAAAACTAGAAAATACAAATTTTCGGATATTTAGAAGTATTTCTGAACAAATATATCAATTATAATTCAATAAAACTTCCAAAAATAGCGGTAATTTTCCAGGTTGATCACAAGGATGTAATATAATATATGGTAATTATTCAGAATTTTCCTCAATGAATACGATTTTCTATGAATTTTACACTAGGAAATAAAAAGGAAATATATTTAAAATTTACGAAAAAAGGGAAATAAGGGTGCGGACGTCAGGATGACATCAGCGCCCGGCGAACGCGAATCGGGCGGAAACAGAGTTCCACCTGGCGATTCTTACGTGGGTGATTACAGACGATTTAATTAATCAAATTAAGATCTGTAAAAGCCGGAAGAATCATAATAGAACAAAGTATATTTTGGTAAATTAAAATCACAAAAAATATCACAAAATGAAGTATAAAGTAAGTTGAAAGTAGGAAAACAGAGTTCTGGCGTCGCGACGGCGATGCGTTGGCGATGCACCGGAATCCTGAGCGTTCGGGAGGATCGTCGTGTAGTGTCCATGGCCTCGAAGGCTCTCTTTGGACAAAGACGACGTGGGCAATCTCTAGATCTCCTTTCGAAGTTTAGAGATCAATGGAATGGGTCGTCGAGTCGTCTTCGGCGGCTGTCACCCGGCAGAGCGGAAAAACGGCGACTTTGCGGCTCTCTAGCGGCTGTCACCCGACGGAGAGGAGCTGGATGGAGGTGGGGCGTGTGTTAGGGAGCTTTGACGTGACTTAGTCGTTGTATATTAAATCACGCAAATCTAAAATTTATAAAACTAGAAAATACGAATTTCCGGATATTTAGAAGTATTTATAAATAAATATATCAATTATAATTCAATAAAAGTTCCAAAAATAGCGGTAATTTCTCAGGTCGATCACAGGGATGTAATATAATATTTTGTAATTATTCAGAGTTTTTCTCAATGAATACGATTTTCTATGAATTTTATACTAGGAAATGAAAAGGAAATATATTTAAAATTCACAAAAAAAAGAGGAAATAAGGGTGCGGACGACAGGATGACGTCAGCGCCTGGCGAACGCGAATCGGGCGGAAACAGAGTTCCGCCCGGCAATTCTTACGTAAGCGATTACAGACGATTTAATTAATCAAATTAAGATCTGTAAAAGCCGGAAGAATCGTAATTGAACGAAGTATAGTTTGGTAAATTAAAATCACACAAAGTATCACTAAATAAAGCGTAAATTAAATTGAAAGCAGGAAACCAGAGTTCCGGCGTCGCGACGGCGATGCATCGGCGATGCACCGGAATCCTGAGCGTTCGAGAGGATCGTCGTGCAGTGTCCACAGCCTCGAAGGCTCTCCTTGGACAAAGACGACATGGGCAATCTCTAGATCTTCTCGCGAAGTCTAGAGATCAATGAAGTGGGTCGTCGAGTCGTCTCCGGCGGCTGTCACCCGGCGGAGCGGAAAAACGACGACTTTGCGGCTCTCCGGCGGCTGTCACCCGACGGAGAGGAGCTGGATGGAGGTGGGGCGCGTGTCAGGGAGCTTCATCCTCAGGTCCGCGCAGCAAGGGGAGGCTCTTCATCGCATCTGGTACGCTCTCAAGAGGTGGCGACTCGTCTCCCGGCGGATCGTCCTCTTCTCGACGACGGCTTGTTTGTCGATCAATCGGAGATGATTTACTCGATGGATTGCGATCCTTTTATCGCGAATCGTTCAGCAATTTTAGTAGCAATGCTCCGCGAATCGCGTTGACGAGATTTTCGCCGATGATCTAGCGATTCCGGTTGCTTAATCCTTCACCGGCGATCTGCAGGAAAGTCGCGATAATCAGTTAAAAATATATGAATTTTAACTCTGGGAGGATTCGAACCCGCGGCGGTCGCCCGCCCCTGAGCAAGGTGTGACGCGGGTTTAGTCCCACATCGGTTGTGCACGGATTATTCGGGCGAATATATAGTAAAGTTAGCTTTCTAGGCAAAGTCCTCTCGCGTGTACGACCACTCCTTGCCCCACAGCCGGCTGGCCACCGGTGACGTGGAAGGGGAGTGGCGCACACGTGCCCCTATCGATCCAAGCAAGCCGCTCGAGCCCCTGCTCGCGGCTACTCCCCGACTGCGCTTCCGACCCGCTTGCGGGCCCGGCTGGCCGGCGGGTCCCCCCATTTTGCAATATTTTTATTTTTATTTCTTGTTCTTCATTTATCTCAAAACTAAGACTGTAAAAATCGTATAAAATCACATAATTACCCAAAAATTCACGTTAATCAACTGAAAACCACTTTTCATGCTTTAACACAAATATAAGTCTATTTATCATGAGTTAAGGCTAAAACTATATTATTTACTAATTATTAACTCATGATAATGAAGACTTATCAAGCTTCATCCTCAGGTCCGCGCAGCAAGAGGAGGCTCTTCATCGCATCTGGTATGCTCTCAGGAGGTGGCGACTCGTCTCCCGGTGGATCGTCCTCTTCTCGACGACGGCTTGTTCGTCGATCAATCGGAGATGATTTACTCGATGAATTCGCGATCCTTTTATCGCAAATCATTCAGCAATTTTAGTAGCAATTCTCCGCGAATCGCGTTGATGAGATTTTCGCCGATGATCCAGCGATTCTCGTTGCTTAATCCTTTACCGGCGATCTGCAAGAAAGTCGCGATAATCAGATAAAAATATATGAATTTTGACTTTGGGAGGATTCGAACCCGTGCCGGTTGTCTGCCCCTTCTGAGGAAGGTGTGACGCGGGTTTAGTCCCACATCATTTGTGCGTCGATTTTTCAGGCGAATATATAGTAATGTTAGCTTTTTAGGCAAAGTCCCTTCTCTCGCGTGTACGACCACTCCTTGCCCCACAGCTAGCTGGCCACCGGTGACGTGGAAGGGGAGTGGTGCACACGTGCCTCTATCGGTCCAAGCCGCTCGAGCCCCTGCTCGCGGCTACTCCCTGACTGAGCTTCCGACCCACTTGTGGGCCCGGCTGGCCGGCGGGTCCCCCCAATTTTGCAATATTTTAGTTTTATTTCTTTTTCTTCATTTATCTCAAAAGTAAGACTGTAAAAATTATATAAATTCGTATAAAATCACGTAATTACCCAAAAAATCACATTAATCAACTGAAAACCACTTTTCACACTTTAACACAAATATAAGTCTATTTATCATGAGTTAAGGCTAAAACTATATTATTTACTAATTATTAACTCATGATAATGAAGACTTATCAACGTCACTTGATAAGGGCATTAGATTACTTGTTTCAATCTCTCTCATGTAAGCGGGTAACCAGCATGAGTTCAAATCTTCCCAAAGCCAAAACTCGTATTTTTAACTGACTATCATGACTTTCTTGTAGATCACTAGTGAAAGATTAAGTCGCTAAAATCGTTAGATCATTGGCGAAAACCTCATCAACGCGATTTGCAGAGCATTGTTACTAAAATTACTGAAAGATTCATGATAAAAGGATTGTAAATTCATCGAGTAAATCATCTCTAATTGATCGACGAACAAGCTATCATAAGGAAGAGGACAATCTACTAGGAGACGAGTCACCACCTCTTGAGAGCATACCAGATGCGCTGAAGAGCCTGTTATTACTACGCGGACTTGAGGATGAAGCTCCCTAACATGCACCCCACTTCCATCTAACTCCTCTCCATCGAGTGACAGCTACTAGAGAGCTGCAAAGTCATCATTTTTCCGCTATGCCAAATAACAGTCACTAGAGATGATTCAATAACCTATTTCATAAATCTCTAGACTTCGCAAGGAAATCTAGAGATTACCCATGTCGTCTTTTCCAATGAGAGCCTTTGAGGCCGTGGATAATGTACGATGATCCTCTCAAATGCTCAAGATTTTGGTGCATCACCGACGCATCACAGTAGTGATGCCGGAACTCTATTTTCCTACTTTCAACTTAATTTTCACTTCATTTAGTGATAATTTGTGTGATTTAAATTTACCAAACTATACTTTATTCAATTACGATTCTTCTGACTTTTATAGATTTTAATTTGATTAATTAAATCATCTATAATCACTTACATAAAAATCATCGAGTAGAACTCTATTTCTGTTTGATTTACGTTTGTCGGTTATTTCTCTTTTTTGTGAGTTTTAAATATATTTTATTTTTATTTCTTAGTATAAAATTTATAAAAACTCATATTTTTTAAGAAAAATTATGAAAAAAATGCCCGATATTATATTACATCCCTGTGATTAATTTGAAAAATTATCACTATTTTTGGAAGTTTTATTGAATTATAATTGATATATTTGTTCAGAAATATTTCTAAATATGTGAAAATTAATATTTTCTAATTTTATAAATTTTCAATTTGTGTGATTTACTATACAACGACTAAGTCATGTCACATGACTTACCTAAGTCTATTGTAGTTGATAGAGGAAGTGTCTTCACAAACCCTTTTAAGAGATTACTAAATAAATACAAGACATTAAACTTATAACGAGTTTTCATCATCATCCACAAATAGATGATCAAATAAAGGTCATAAATCCAAGCCTAGAAACCTAGCTCAAATGTGTTGCCTATGATAAGCCTAAATTGTGTAGTGAGTCATTACACTAGCAAAACTTAGCTATAATACTTCTTATCACTCAAATATCTAGATGATGCCTTTCAAAGTAATTTATTATTGAGATCCTCTCACATTTTCACAATATGAGCTACCTATTTCATCAATCAATGAAGTAGGCAAATATTTAATTGAACATGATTAAATACTTCAACTTTTGAAGGAAAATTTATTGCATGTACAGTCCAAGATGAAAAAACAAGCAAGTAAACATAAAAGTGACAAAATTACAAGTGAGAGAGAGACTTCATTATATAGAACTCAAACCCTATCACATGAGGACATTGGCAAAGAAGCTCAACAAAAAGCTTGGTCCTAAGTTTTTTTGTTGATATCCCATCAAGGGGCGAATTAGACTAGTGGCATATAAATCAGAGCTACCAAATAACACAACTCTTCATCTAGTGTTTCATGTCTCATAGTTTTGTAGAGCCCTGGAAAATCTGGATTGCAGTCAACAAATTCTAAGAGTGCTTATAGAAGATATAAAATGAGTAATTGTTCCTCAAGACATCCTTCCTTTCATAGTTCATCTTTTAATGTGAAAGTACTAGTCAAATAGAAAAACCTTCTTGACTATGAAGCCTCATGGGAAAACATAAAAAAATCAGCAGCAATTTTTAGAATTCCACCTTAAAGACATGGTGAAACTCATGGGAGGTAGAGTCTTGATAACCCTCAATACACTTATTTAGGAGGAAAACCCAAGTCCAATAGGAGAATCACTGAACGTGAGATTATGGGGAGCTCCAAATAGACTAAAGGAATAATAAGAACTTCATAAAGCATGCCAAATTATCTACAACATTGACTAATAGTGTAATACCAAATTAACTTACGTGTTCAAGAGAGCATGATCTTTCACAATGAACTCATAGCACTGGCGAAGCATGTTCTTAGAAAAGTTTAGTGCAATGACTTTGGAGAAAGTCCTAGACTTTGCGGAGAATTTTCTAGAAAACAAGCCACTCCCACTTCTTATGTCTAAAAGAAGGCCACCTGCTACATGCTCGAAGTACTCTTGAGCCATTTTGAACTGTAGGGGTGAAACATTCTCAGTATAATACGACATAGGATGAAGAAATATAATAATAGTAATCAATGACGTCATGATAATTTAGTCAATGAATATAGAACACGAGCCTACATCAATCAGCCTATTTTAATGAATTAAATATTGATTTTTTCAGAGTACCTCCTCCTCAAGACCTGGGAATCCATTTCTACTAAAACTTTGTCACCATCCCCTCTTGTAAAAAAAGAGACAAGTGAACTCCTAAAGAGGGAAATCATCAAAGAAATATTAGTGTATAATTATGAAGCCCCTGATTTACAGCTGTAATCAAGTTATGGATTGAAGGGCAACGATCAGAATAGGAACTGAATGGGAATCTTTGATTGCATGGTTGAGCAACTGTTAACATGTATCTGTATTTCTTTGTAAATTTATATTTGCCAATTCACGTAAATTTTTAACTATTGCATTGTCGAAGAAAATGGCCATTGGTCGTATGATGAAATCAGCCTTGTCTCCCCCAGAATTATAGTTTGAAAAAGCATTACCAAATTAAGTTTTATATATTTTTTTAAAGCGAGTATTTCCTAATTGAATTTAATATTATTACCCCAGTTCATTTTTAGGAAGCTTGAGATAGGACACATACAGCTAGTTTTCCAAATTTAGATGATTTTTTACCCTGTGGATGGGTCTTTTAGGATCATGGACTTCAAATAATTTTTGCCTTTCTTTTAATCTGGTGAAGTCTTGTTTTACAGATGGGTGTCTAGCTCCCTTGCAACCCCTGGAGAAATCATGGCAAAGTGCCAGTGCCACAAAGGGCCTCCAAAACATTCGATGAAACTTTGTTCTTTTTACACAAGTAAATGGAGTCACTCAAACAAGAAGAAACAGGTACTACGTTACGGACCTGAACATCTCAGTCCCTGAAGGCTTGTATTCATTATACTCCCTAATCCCAGATGTGACGGTGAGATCCAGATACGTATTCCTGCTGGAGAATGGCTTGTTGCACCTTTCACACTTGAAACCAGACCTGTAGATGGCGACCTGATGAACCACACCAACGCTCAGATATCCAAGCGAATATAATAGGCATGCCAGAGAGGTTCAGAAATGAGGTGTTCTCACAGGTTTTGGCCTGAAGGCCCCTTCCTTATCAGTGGTTCATAGCAAATTGGGCAAGCAAATATGTCGAGTTCTGGACTAACATCCTCCTGCATAATTGAAGCTTCTCGCCTCAATATTTCTCCATCGGCATTGAAACAAAACCACACGACTGTACAGAAAACTGTCAAGACAGATCCGAAGGAACGATCGGACCAGATCTAAAACTATCAGGCGCACTTAGTTCTCCACAATCACAGTAATCCGAGACCAGTCTCCAGAAGTTAGGTAGGACTCCTACCTTCCCAGCAACGACCACCGCGGCTTTGATCCGGAACCTTGCGGGTGAATGCAGCCTCCGCTCCCGGCAGAAGCGAATCAGAAGCCCCGGATTGGCGGAGATCCTCCGCAGGTCCTGTTCTGCCCGTCGGAGGTGAGAATGAGAACGGAAGGACGCCAGAACCGTCGCGGAGGAGGCCATCGCCACTTCGCCGCCTCTTCCTCAATTTCCGTCTCTACTCTTCGATCCTTCGATCTTCTGGAGATCGAAAATCCCACGTACTTTGAAGCGTCCTGGTAGACGTGAAGTTCTCAGCTTCACGTCGCTCGCAGCATTGGTCTACAGTAGGCAGGCGTTCAGTTGTATCCGTGGAACCTTTTCTCTTAACGAGAGGCCAACGTTGACTCCCCACCCCCCTTCCTCACCTACGCCCATTAGGAAAATTTTCGGGACATGTGGGCAATTTAGCAGAACGGAATATTTCAACTGTCCCGCTTG